AAGAACAAAACAACAGCAACTTGTCTGTTCCCCTTCCCCCAATTCCCCTGCGCTGTTCCCATCCCCCAATTCCCCAATAAAAATCTTTTTTAAAAAAGTGCACAATTCAGTGGTTTTACTATATTTACAAGGTTGTGCAACCATCACCACTATGGAATTCCAAAACATTCTCATCACCCCAAAATAAACTCCATTCTTATCAGCAGTCACCCCCATTCTCCTCCCCATCCCCAAACAATCACGAACCCACTTCCTGTATGAGGATGTGCCTGCTCTGGACATTTCACATAAGTGGAATCACATACTGTGTGGCCTCTTGTTCCTGGCTTCTTTCATTGAGCACCATGTGTTCAAGGTCCATCCACATTGTAGTGAGTGTTGGTGCCTCCTTTTCATGGCTGAGTGACACTCCTGTGTGTGAATGAAGCACACTATGTTCATCCATTCATCTGTGGATGGACACTTAGGTTGCTTCCATCTTTTAGCCAATGTGAATCCTGCTGCTATGAATACCTGTGTACAGGTTTTTGTGTGGACGTCTGCTTTCATTTTTCCTGGGTGTATATATACCTGCAAGTGGAATTGCCAGGTCACATGGTAACTATGTTTCTGTGGAGCTGTCTGACTGCCCCAAGTTGGCTCATTTTGTGTGCTGACTGTGTGCCAAGCAGGAAAACTGCCTCTTGTAATCCTCACAAGCATTTGGTGAGACAGGTGCTAGACTTGGTGCTGTGGCACAGGTGAGGCCACGGAGGGTCCGAGAAGGAAACTAGGGACTCCTGGACACAGCTTGGTCCTGCTAGGTCAGCTAAGAGCTGGGCTGCAGTGAGACTGGGTGTGTGGACAAGATGGGGAAGAAAGCTGGGGAAGATGAGGTAGGGAGATGAGGCTGTCTTCTCCCTGGCTGGCCACCTGCTTCCACTGGGCCCAGCTGGGCACCCGTGTCTCCTCCCCAGGCAGATCTAGGCCAGGGCTCCATCTCTGTGTCTAGTTTCAAGTGTTGAGGCATCAGCCTCCCACTGCCCAGCTGAAAAGCTCTAGACAGCCTCTCTTTTCAAGGCTTGAGGTTGGTCAACTGAGTCGAGTAGCCAAGCAAATTTCCAGACTCCCAGAGCCACAGGAGGGGGTGTTCTCGGGGGCCTGTGGGCTCCTGCAACAAGTGAGACCTGCCCCATCAAGCCCGAGTGAAGTGCCATGGTCAAGGGCACAGATCAGCCTACACTTCTTCATGGAAATCCCCTCCCCACTTTGAAAATCAGGATGAACGTGTCCCTACTCCATCAGTGTGTATGAGGACAGATGAGGAGCATTTAATAGCTCACTCTGTACCCGCTTTCCCAGCCCCACACCTCAGAATCCTCTTTCTGTTCCGGAGAGGTGGGTAACCCACTTTATAGATGAGGAAGTCAAAGACAGGGAGAGGGCAAGAGCAAGAAACCTCCAGCCCATAATTCCCTCAGCCTCCCAACGACCCTCAGGGAATGGAGAAGTATAAATGTTGGAAGCTCCTAAAAACGCTTCTGTTAGTTCTCAGTGTCAACCGGATTGGGAAGGAGGGGGAGGAATGTGGGGAAATGGGAAGGTAGGTCAGCAGGGGGCTGGGCCCTAGGAGCATGTGGACATCACACAGGACCCCTGCTAACTCTCACACCCCACAGCTGGGTTCCCTGGGGCCCAGGTTGATCTCTGTTCCTTTGTGGGCTGCTGGGTCCTCCAGGGGCTGATGGCTGGGGAAGGCAATTTCCAAGCAGGGCACCAGGGAAACCCCCAACCATGCCAGCAGGATGGGGGGCCCACCCATGGCCCAAAGGAGACCACAGAATTGGCACCTCCTGTTCAACCTTTATTTGCAAACTGTGAGGTTAGGCATGATGCCTGAGACTCTGGATGGTATCATTGACTCTCCTTCTACCCACCAATTCTGGGGCAGGGAGGGGATGGCCCCAATCCACCCCATCCCAACCCCACTGTGTAACTAGACATCTCTTTCCCTCCCTTCCATTTCTTTCTTTCTTTCTTTCTTTCTTTCTTTCTTTCTTTCTTTCTTTCTTTCTCTCTCTCTCTCTCTCTCTCTCTCTCTCTCTCTTTCTTTCTCTCTCTCTCTCTCTCTCTCTCTCTCTCTCTCTCTCTCTCTCTCTCTCTCTCTTTCTTTTCTTTTCTTTCTTTCTTTCTCTTTCTTTCTTTTTCTTTCTTTCTTTTTCTCTCTCTCTCCTCCCTCCCTCCCTCCCTCCCTTCCTTCCTTCCTTCTCTCTCTCTTTAGGATTCCACGAGGGCCACCCCTGGCCTTCGGTCCTCATTGGCCAGCCAGGGCCTTTTGGGGGCAGGTTCTCGCCCTGGGTACTCATCTGGAATGAGGGAGTGGGACAGCAGTGCCCATCAGGGGCCTAGGCAGAGGCAAATGTTAACTCTTCTAGCCAGATGTCTTCGGGTTCCAGCCAGCAGCTGGTACTGGGGTTTTGATGGGGGTGGCTTCTGGCACTGGCGGGACCCACACACGGGGGAGGGCAGCCCAAGGAGAGGATGCTGCAGAGGAGGGGGCTCCCAAAGGCCATGGCCAGCAGGGCCAGCATCATGGCCTGGGCTGGGCCAAGGTGACGGCGGCAGGGACGGGCAGTTGCGGAGGGCTGGGGGTAGTCATTGGGGGTGGCAGGCCCTGAGCAGGAGCCCCAATGCTTATCCAGTATGTAAGGTAGAGAACAGGTGGTGCAGTCAAGCAGGGAGCTGCCGCAGCAGGTGTAGCAGGAGGAATGGCAGCTGGAGCATACACGCAGGACGGGCATTGCTAGGTGCCCCAGCTCAGTGGTCATTGCCTGGTGGGTGTGACTGAAGTACCGTGGTGGGCAGTGGGAGAGGCAGAGGTGGCCCAGGATGTAGGCGGGGCTGTGGCATTCTGCATAGGGAACATGGACACGGGGGTGAGGCCGAGGCCTGTTGCCCTTGCCCACCCACCCAGTGCTGCACACACACACACACACACACACACACACACACTGTCAGCAAGCAGGCCATGCTGCACCAGGCACTCACCCTGGCACAGCCCCTCTGTGTCCCACTGCACACATGCGCTGCTGGTCACCTGGGATCCCGTGGGCCGTGCTGTCATGTCCTCAGCTGTTCCATAGAGCAGCAGTGTGTAGCGGTACAGTGTCCCTGGGCAGGGGTTGCAGTGGGTATGGGGAGGAATAAGGGACGCTGTTGGCAGCCTGATCCTGCCATTCTGGGCCCCACTCCCCAGCCAGCCCCACCCCACCCTGGAGTCTCAGACTCAGGTGCTGTCCTGGCCACCCAGCACCCATTGTAGGACACCTACAATGCACTAGACATGCCTGCTCACAGTTTCTTCAAGACTACTGGGAACCCCTCTGCAGTGGGGTAACTGAGGCTGGCTGCAGAGTCCCTGGACTGTGCCCACCTCTCACCTGTGTTAAAATAGTAGCCCTTGTTTTCCAGGCTCAGGGTCCACAAGCCCTGCGGGTCCTCATCCCAGAAGTGGGTGGACATGAAGATCCAGTTGTTGTAGCCTTGGCCGCTGATGTCAAAGGGTCTGGGACAGACAAGTGGGGGGTGGGGCAGAAGGGGGGCTTCTCAACCAGTCGTAAAGGGGCCAGTGAGGCACAGCAAGCATCTGACTGCAGTGCCAAGTGCTGGCCGCGGGACTGGCTGCCATGAGGTATAGGCTGCACCTGACCCCACAGTGTACTTGTCCCTCCCTGTGCAGACCCACAAGACGAGGTCTCCCATCCCCCGCACCTGATGGCCACCAGTGTGGAACAGGTGCCCATGGGGCTGGTGAGTGAGATCTCCAGGTCCCCGCGGCGGCTATAGGACAATGACAGCTTCACCTGTACGTGCTCCAGCGAGCGGATGTAGTTGGTGTGACCAGCACAGGCCGACGCTTTTTTCCTCACTTGCGTCAGCGGCAGGATAGGGCTGGGGGTGGTGTGGAGGTTCAGAGCCCTTCCTGCCAGCCTGCTGGGGGGATGGGTGGCCAGCAGGCGGGGTCTGGGCTTAGATTATGGGGCCCACCCTCTGGTTTTACAGATGGGTAAACTGAGGCCTCAGGGCTGCCTCCCATGTGTCTGCCCCCTGGATATTAATTACGGTGTGGGGGAGGTCTGGAGAGGTAACAGGTATGAGGGGAGGGCTGAAGAGGTGACAGGTGTGAGGGAAAGGCTAGAATGGTGACAGGTGTGAGGAGAGGTCTGGGGAGGTGACAGCTGTGAGGGGAAGCCTGGGGAGGTAGCAAGTATGAGGGGAGAGCCTCTGTGTCGCCCCTGTGGCAGGTGTCCAATGGCTGGGGCCAAGGACAGTGCTCACGTGGGGGTATGCAGCACCCGAATGACGCATTTCTTCTGGGGCTGTGTGGGCAGCCATGTGCGTGCCAAGTCCACCAGCAGTCTGGCATTCAGGAGCCCATAGCCATAGTGGTGGCTCACTGTATGAAGGGGTGGATGTCACTTGCGCTGTGAGCATGATGTCCCCACCCACCACCTGGCCCTGCTGCACCTTGGCGTCCCACACCATTGGTCCTCCAGTCCTCGGCCTGAAGCTGTGCCCGCCTGGATGCACGGACCACCAGGTGCTGCATATCCCTCCATGTCAAGAACGGGCTGGGGGCAGGTAGGGGTGTGAGCTGGGGCCATATCTGGGGAGCCAGGATGGTAGGCGGGGCCCCCACCATCACCTACTTCGCTTCCAGAGCCAGGGCGATCATGCCCGCAGCCAGCGGTGCTGAGGCCGAGGTGCCTGTGTGCTTGTCAGTGCACTGGTGATGCAGGTCCGTGGTGACCTGCAGACGGAGACAGGGACTCGGGGGCCAGGGCATATGAAAACCCGGCCCTTGTTTACAAAGCACCAAGGACTCAAGAAGGCACTGCAGAGCATTACAACAGGCTGGGGATCTGAGCGCTGTTCGGGTCCATGCCCCAGAAACAAAGGGCAGGGGGTGTGAAGGGGTGACAGTAGGGCTGGGGACTGGGCCCGTGTCTGTGCTCCAGCACTGCAGGGGCAATCCTTGGGAGGAGTAAAGATGGGAGGACAGGAGGGAAGATGTGGGGGTGAACAGGAGGGAAGGTGGGGGGGGATAGGAGTGACAGTGAGGTTACAGGGGAGAAGGTGAGAGGACTGGGGGAAGGTGGGGGGATAGGAAGGAAGGTGGGGGACAGGAGGGAAGGTGGGACAGGAGGGAAAGTGGGGGACAGGAGCAAAAGTGGGGGGATAGTGGGGAAAGTGAAGGTACTGGGAAAAGGTGGAAGACAGGAGGGAAGGGGGGACGGGAGGGGAGGCAGGGATCAGGCTGGGTTAGGCAAGGTGAACATGGTGGTGGGATCCACTGCTCACAATTTGGGGGTCGGTGACAATGCCGCTGCTGTAAGTGGTGGTGAGCGTGGAGGCACAGGCTTCACTGTACCAGGGCACATGGCCTTGCTGGGTTGTGCTGCCCACGGAGAGCGTGTGGATGCTATTGGTGTAGCCGTCACAGTTGCAGTTGTCATAGTGCAGGCCACCATTGCCTGATGCCCAGATGAAGAGTGTGCCCAGACCCCCACGGCCCTGCATTTGGGGACAGAGATGGGGACAAGGGGCGGGGCATCAGCATCATGAACAGGCACAGGCCTTCCATGGCCCTGGGCCCCACTCACCTTGGTAACGCCATGCCTAAAGGCCTCCCGGGTGAGGATGCCTGGGCCATCCACTGTGCGGCCATCATCCTCAGGGCCCCAGCTGGCACTATAGATGTGAATGTGCTGTGGCTGAAGGCTCAGCGACTGGGCCTCAATGACATCGGTGATGGTGCCATCCAGCATTCGCACGCCTGCATAGGTGGGTGTTGGGCCTTGGCAGACAGCCCCACCCGCACCACAACCCGTCCAGGCCAGCTCCAGCCATCCTGAGAGTAGGGGGGCATGCTCAGCTCTCCCCACCCTAGCCTGAGGCCTCCGCATTGCGCAGTGGCAAGGGCCTGGCCGTGAGAGGCTTCCTCCCCTAGGAGATCTGCCAACTCTCCCTGGCGTTCCCAGTCACCCAATGCCACCCGGTCCAGTCTCTGTCCTGGGCAGGCCTCAGTACCTCCAATTCGGGCATTGTAAGCGACGCCTATACCGCAGAACCCGTTGTTAGCTATGGCTGCCACTTCCCCAGCACAGCGAGTTCCATGACTGGCCCCAAGGCAGAGAGGGATTCCTGTCACAGCCCCCTGGCCCCCACAGGGCACAAGGGCCACCCCCAGGCCCTGTGGGGTGCTGAGCTCACCGGTTCTCCTCACTGGGTGTGTATCGTGGCTGGGGGTCTGGGTCATAGTCGTTAAAGTCGTAGCTGGCCAAGGGATCCTGGGGGTAGGGTAGAGATGTGAAGGGGATGGGGCAGTCCGTGGGTCAGGGGCAGACCCCCTTGCTCAACCTGGCCCTCCAGGGACTCACGTAGTTAGCCCAGAGGTCCGGGTGGTCCTTCTCGATGCCATCGTCCAGGATGGAGACCACAATGCCCTGGCCTGACAACCCCTGGCTCCAGGCCTGCAGGATGTTCAGGTCCGGCTGCACCTGGTTGTTCTGTGCCAGGCAGGGCTGGAGTCAGTGGGGCTCCAGCACAGTCCCATCCTGTCGCCCAGCCCAGCCTGCTCACCATGTACCACTGCTTGGAGAACCATGGGTCCGTGGGCACCATCAAGGAGCGCTTCACCCGCCGCCGCAGCGTCTGCTGCTCAAACCACTGCACCTGGAGGGGGACACAAGCCAAGGCAGGGGCTGGACCCAATTATCCAGCCTCACACCCATGCACTTTAGAAGGTCCTGTCCCACAAACCAAGAGGACCTGCCCCTCTGAGCCCTTCCTGCCAATTCCCAGTCAAAGGGCCCAAGCCTGTGTCTAGGGTCTGCCCGAGCTGCTTCCCGGAGTCCACTAAGGACCAACTGTCTGTGGGGCTGTGGTTGGTGTGGTATGTGTGTCTGGGCTGCCACTGCTTGTCCTGAGACCTCATGTTTGCTGGGGCTGCTCTTCAGGGTCCCCATGTGCCTGGGGCTCTGCCTTCAGAGGAGACCAAGGCCCTTGGAGCCCCCATCCCGAGGGCCCATAGACATATGACCACTGCCCAGGGATCTGTCCATCTCTCCCCTGCAGTGGCCAGTTCTGTCTGCTACCCCCTTTTCAGTGCAGGACACCCTTGCATACCCACCTCCTTCCTGGTCCTCCAGCTTCACCCCTGCCTCAACAACCCACTCTTAGCACACAGTAGCAGCACTCTCTGTCGTGGCTCCCCACCGCCCTCTCCAGGGCCCACAATGCCCTGCCTGTCTGTCCCCCACCAGCCTCTCCATGCTGCTGCCACAGTGGCTGCCCCACCCGGGCCTTTGCACATATTGTTCTGCCTCCCTGGGGTGCTGTTCTTCCTTCCTTGTTGATCTCCCATCTGCCCCCCAAACCAGCTCCTGTCCCCCCCACCCCCATCTTGGAAATCAGGGCCATCATCTCCCCATTTGCTCTGCTCCAATCTTGGGAGCTGGCCCTGATTTCTCTCCCCATCACATGCACCTAATCAATACATCAGCAAGTCCTGGCCTCTCTCTTGCAAACATCTCCAAGTGCCCACTTCTCTGTGTGGCCAATTCTCCAGGTGGGTTTTGAACCATCAAGCTTCTTGCCTCCTTGCTGATCAGCCCCCCAGCCCAGCCCATACCTCTTCATGGCTCCCAAGGGCTTGCCAGACTTAGTTTCAAGTCCTCAGCTTGGCTTCTAAGGCCTTTTCCCTATTTGTCATCTTTCTGAGCATCTGGAGACCCAATTCTGGTCCCAATTCAGCCAGGGCCTTATTGGGTGACTAAGCAGGTTTCTTTCTCTTTGGAACTGTTTCCTCCATCACAAAACAGGCAAATGCCCCCTCGTCCACCCCATGAGCTAGTATGTTATCTGCCCCTCTTTATGGGGCACCTGGGAACCTTGATCTCTCAGGGTGAAATAAAGAAGGAGGGGGCAGGGGTTTGCAACAATAATTATTAATTTTGTGCCAGGCCCTGGGGTGAGCACTGTGCCCACCCGTGATATATTGCTCTCCATAGATCTTCCCCATCTGAATCCCCACTATATAGACTGGGGGGCCAGTGGAGACCACGACTCAGAGAGAGCAGGTAACTTGTCAAAGGTCACAGCCATTTATAACAATCACAAGAATAACAGGAGGTGGCTGAAACCACAAGGGGGCAGCCTCGAGGCCAGGCTCACCTTGGGGTCTTTCTTCAGGCGCAGGCGGTGGCTCCAGTGAGGGGTCAGAGACTGCTGGACCACGCCCCGGTGCCGCAGGTGGAAGTAGTGCCCATCAGGGAAGATCTGGGAATGAGGGGAAGCAGCAGCTTTGCTAGGACCCTGCTCCCCTGATGGAGCCCCCACAGGACAGGAACCAGCCCCTTTGTTTGCATCCTCCGCCAACCAGGTGGCCAGGTGGGGGCTACATGTGCCCTCTGCAGGTCGTAGAATCTGAAGTTGGTCGAGGCAGGGGTGGGTTAGGGGTTCTTGATATCGAGGGGACCTGGGGGGCCCCCTCCCGTCAGTCGGGGTCTGGGGCCTTGGGTTGTCCAGCCCCTGTCCTCTCCCGTCCATCCGGGTTCCACCCACCTGTCCCAGGTTGACAAAGCCGAATTTGCAGGCTAAGCGCTCGGCCTCCCGGTAACCCTGGGACATCCGCACGGCCCAGCTGCTGACATAGATGGGGACCCGGGCCGAAGCCCACCCCACAGCCAGGAAACAAACGAGGGCCAGGCCCAGGGACAAAGCCAGGCGCAACCAGAGAACAGTCCAGGCGGACTGCATGGCGGCGAGGGCGGGACCGGGTCCCTCCCCCTTGTCAAACCGTCGAATTGGCCCAAGCGCCTGCCCCGCCCCCGGCGCCATAGCAACTCTGAAAAGCTTCAACTCCCAGGGGGCCTTGCGGTTCCCCATTGAGGGGCGCGAAGATCCGACAGAAATGGGAGGGGGGAAACACGCTTGCCCTGGTTTTTTGCAGACCCAAACTCTCTGGAGCCTCAGTCTCCCCATTTGTACAATGACCCAATTCTGACACAGAGAAGCGGGTTCACTCTTACTCTGATTGACCCTCCCCGCTTTATTGAGCCCCGCCCGCTTTTCTACATACTCCTCCCTCTAAAATCAGCCCTCCTCTCCAACCCAACCAGAATCGTTCTTTCTAGTAAAGTCCCGCCTCCTCAATTTAGCTCCGCCCTTCAGATTCCGTTCTGCCTCCTTTATGACCAGTTCCACCCCTTTGTTCTTGCCCCTCCCACTGGTTCCTCCAGCACGCTTCTCTTCTCCCCCAGCTCCACCCACACAACGGTTCAGCCAATAATCCAAGGCTATGACCCCGCCCCTCCAATCAGCTACGTCCCTCTCCCATTCGGCCAATTGGCGCCCTCTGCCGCCGCGCCCTGTCTCCTACCTCCGGAGTCGCGGTTGCGGCGGCCGCGGCCGGCCAGAGGGCAATGCGGAGGCGGAGACGGGGCAGGCCCCACCTCTTTTGTCCACCCTGCCCCCCCATTGGCCAGTGCGGGGAACAGGAGGCGGAGACCAGCCCCGGGGCGGAGACCAGCCCCGGGGCTGTGCGGTGTGGCTCTCTGCCGGGGAAGGGGGCGTGCGCTCGGCGAGGCCGGGGCGCGGCGCTGCGATCGAGCTCGGGCTGCCAGCCCCGGGCCCACCGGTGCCATGGACGGCCTGCGCCAGCGCTTCGAGCGGCTTCTGGAACAGAGGAACTTGGCCACCGAAGCGCTAGAGGTTCTCGAAGCCAAGACCGGTGTCGACAAGCGGTACTTGGCCGCAGGTGAGCCGTCCAGGGGCGTTCGGGGCTGCCGCCCAATTTCACTGATGGGCACACTGAGGCCCTGGGGCAACCGGGCCTCAGACCTGCCCCCCACCAACTGGCTCCAGCTGCGGGGTCTGGACCGGACGGCGGAGCGTGCCCCACTGTCCAGCGGGTAGACCTAGATCCTGGCTGGGGAGGGGTCGTAGACCTGGACCACGGGTGTGTCCACAGTTCCTCTCCTGCCCCGCCGTGCGACCTCGGGCGAGAGCCACCCCCTTTCTCAGCCCCTGCAGTACCCCCACTCTGGCTCTCGGGTCTGGAGGCCTGTCCTTTGTCCCCTCCCTCAGGGCTTTGGGTTCCCGCCAGGCCGAAGTCCGGTTCTTCCAGTTGCCCCGCCGTCCCTGGGGGAGGAGAAGGGGACAGGTAGGCAGCCAATGCCCTGAGTCTCGCCACCCCTGTCCCTGATGGACCCCAGCCTGAAAGCAAGTGTAGAGATCTTCTTGTTTTTCCGAAGGGATGGATGCCCTGTGCCAGGAGGGAAAGGTCACTTCCACCTCCCCTCCCATTGTTTTCCTGCTAGTACTCACCTTGGCCTTCCCTCTCCTGTAACGGCCCAACGGCTTCAGCCCATGTGCGTTAATAGTTGAGTGTTGGGTTGTTTGACAGCTGTGTTCCTATTGGAGAAAGGTTGAATGGGGACCCAGGAAGAAAGGGGTCCAGCCACACCTGACTATAACTTCCGTTCCAGTTACTCCTCTTCTTTTCCTTTTCAATGGCCTGGTGTGGCTCCTGCCACTTTCTAAAACTGTCCAGTAAACACCCATAAAATGCCTTCCTTTCCTGTTTTGTAGTGTGCTAGGCCTACCCACTCTGTCATTTCTCCCAGGAAACCCCCCCTGGAATGAATCACAAGGATGCTGGGGGGAGAGGGAGGGCTCTAAGTGAGGACAGTGCCAGGTATTTTGAGCACCTTCCATGTACAGTTCTTGGGAATCCATTTTCATCCCATTTCCCCACCAATTTGGGGGTCCCCATGCCAGGCAGCTCAAGGAAAATTAGAAATCTGTCCCCCCAGGTTCCTGGTGCCCAACCGATGTCAGCCCAGCCAGGGACTTGCCCCTGGGAGCAAGCCATTGACCTCCTGCCCAGCTTTCCACATCCCTGGTACCAGTGGGTGGGGAATTTAGGTCACAGAGCACTGGGGAGGGGCCCACAAGGGAGGCTAGTAGTTACAGGGAGGAAACTGAGGCCCAGAAGAAGCAGGGGCTGTTGGGAGGATGCCCCTGCCACCTGCCCTGTCTGGAGTATCTCCCCCTCCCCCCCAGGCCCCATCTGTTGCTGATCTCAGGCTGTGCCCGTGTCAGGTCCAAGGTCATCCTCCCATTGCTGAGGCTGCAAGAATAGGGATTGAAGGGAGGGGTGCCTTGGGAGAGCCACTGCTCCCCCACTAGTGATTTCCAGAGAAGGGGTGACATTCCTCATCCCCTCATCCAGATGTGGGAACCCTTGGGCCCCACCTGCTCCAAATGGCTAAATCCCCCATCCCAGGTAATAGGAAACCCAGAGGAGCCAGCTGGGGAGGCCCCTCTCCCACTCCTGAACCGAGACTCAAATAGAAACTAATGCAGGTGGAGGGAAGGGTAGTGGTGACTCTGCCCTTTGGTCCACAAGTGGACTCTATCTCTCTCTGCAGATAACAGCCTCAGGGGAGGAGGTGAGAGGCTCTAAATGCTCCCAAATGATCCTGGGCAAGTTCCTCTACCCCCTGCTTCTGTTTAGCTCTGTCCATTGCATGAGACAGAACAGGGAAGCACAGAGCCTCATACATAAGAAGCACTTAATAAATGTGACACTTACCATTATTGTTTTCAGAGTGACTAGCACTCCTGGCTGCCCCCACCCCCACACTATTCTCCTCTGAGCCTCATTGCTGCTTTTGTGACCAGAGGCCCTCAGTAATGTGTGGAAAGGACGAGTCCTCTGTGTTGAGTGTATTTAGTTAAACCCACAACAACCCTAAGAGACAGGGCCACTACCACTCCATTGACAGATGGGGAAAATGAGTCTCCAACCAGAGAGAGAGACTTGCTCAGTGTCATGTGGTAAGTGAGTGGAGGAGCAGAGGGCTCTCCAAGGTCTGGGGGCTATAGACTGCCCTCTGCTGCCTCCCACTAAGACAAGGGGTCTCAAACAGAACTATGCACTCCCTCAGGACACTTGGCAATGTCTGGTGACATTTCCGGTTGTCACAATTAGGGGGTTCTCCTGGCATCAAGTGGGTGAGGACCAGGGAGGCTGGTCAGCAGTGCTGATATTGAGAAACCCCACACTAAAAGTTTAAAATGCCATTGCCTTTGTCCACTCTCTGGAAATCATGTCTTAATGATAGAACAGCCTCACTTTTAGGTTTTTCTCTGATTACTTATATTCAATCACGTGTCTTATGCCCATCACCTCCTATAGGACCCGGAGTGAGGTGGTTATAATTGCAGATGATCACTTATTCTTTCAACAAACATTGAATGGGCAGCTACTCTGTACCCAGCAGGGCAGAGCTCTTCACCTACCTTTGAGGACCTCACAGTCCCATGGAGGAGACGGATCTGTTAACCGATTACAGACATAAGACTCAGGGCTCAGGGCCATAGTGGGGGTCACCCAGGAATTGCAGGGGAATGTGTCCTGGAGGGATCTCTGAGGCTTATAGGGGGAGTAACAATGGTGGACTGTATCTGTCAAACCCAGAGATGGCCCGGGGGCCTACAGGCCAGGCACGGAGTGAGCTGGATTCCCTCCCATGCCCCTCTTTTCTGCAGGAGCCACCACTCTGCTAAGCCTGTATCTTCTGTTCGGTTACGGGGCGTCTCTACTGTGCAACCTCATTGGCTTTGTGTACCCCGCATATGCTTCGTGAGTGCCCATGGGCTGTTCAGGTGGGAGGCATCTGGGGGGAGGCTCTGGCAGGCAGCCCCTGACCCTGCCATGCCTCCCCCCAGAATCAAAGCTATAGAGAGCCCAAGCAAAGAGGACGACACTGTGTGGCTCACTTACTGGGTGGTGTACAGCCTGTTCGGGCTTGCCGAGTTCTTCAGCGATCTACTCCTGTCCTGGTTCCCTTTCTACTACGTGGGCAAGGTAGGCGTCACCAGGACACACATGGGACAGGGTCTCCAGGGAGCAGGCAGGTGACCAGAAACGGGGGTCTGAGGGGCCCACCCTGCTGTTCCTGGGATGTCAGTGGGGAGACTCAGCCCCTTCCCTGCAGAAACAGGCCCAGCCAGGGATTTGTCTGATGGGGACATCTCAGGCCCATCCTGACAGGTGTCTGATGGAAACAGTCCTGGTTATCCTGACGGGAGTGGCCCAGGTCCACCTAGCCCAGTGTCTGATGGGGGAAGCTCAACCCCTACCCATGAGACACAGAGCAGGGGGCCAAGTGTGACTGCTGCCTGTGTCTGCAGTGCGCCTTCCTGTTGTTCTGCATGATTCCCGGGCCGTGGAACGGGGCTCACATGCTGTATCATCGCGTCATACGTCCACTGTTTCTAAAGCATCACGAGGCCGTGGACAGCGTCGTGAGAGACCTCAGCGGACGGGCCCTGGACGTGGCAGCCGGAATAACCCGGGATGGTGTGTGCTCACAGGGTGTCCGTCTGTCCCAGTCTCTGTCTGTCAGTCTGTCTGTCTCTCAGCCCACCCATCCCCACTCACCTTCACTTCTGCCTTCCCCCTCCTGACTCTGACTGACCTCTGCCTGGCATCTTGGCTGCTGGCATCTGGCACTCTGCCTTCCCCTCTTCACTGTCTGCCTCTCTCTCCTACGCTCTCGGGAAACAGTCCTGCAGACCCTGGCCCGCAGCCGGGCCCTCATCACCCCAGTGGCTGTTGCAGTGGGCCCCCCACTGCCCTTGGAGCCAACCATAGGTAATCCCCACGCTTAGGAAATAGGGCCTATATGTGTGTGCGTGCGTGCATGTGCGTGCATTTATGTATGAACGTGGGTCCACATATGCATGTGTTGAGTGCATGCAGGTGACTGTTCCTTCCAAGGCTGGCTGCTATCCCCTGGCGCGGACCCCATCCTGGCCCCCAGCAGACTCCATTCCACTGTCCAGCAGCTAAGTGAAGCCCCAGGGCCCGAGGGAGCCGCCAGACCTGCCTCACCCCCATGGCCCTCTCTCTGCAGCGAAAGTAAGCATGACCCAGCTCCAGAAGGACAAATGAAGTCCCCACCCAGCACCTGCACAGACCTGCCGGCCAACCAGCTGAAGGACACAGTGTACCCCAACCCCAAGTCCTCCACAAATTCCTCAGCTGACTCACCAGCTGAGCCCACCACTGTTCCCTTGTCCTCAAGCAAGTCAGCCCCTGGGAGCTCCTCGCATACCACCTCCCAGCCTCAGTCCCTAGCCACTGGCTCTGCCAGTGGCTCCAAGCTGCCCCACAAGCCCCAAGCAGGGCCTCAGTCAAGAGCGCCTCAGATAAGAGCCAACTCCTCCAGCCAGCCCCAGGCCCCCAGCCAGCAGCGCCACCGGCCCTCCATCACTTCCTTGGGCCCCTCCCAGTCAGCCCACCAGGCCTCAGGCTCCATGAAGCATCCCAGCACCTCCTTCAGCCAAGGTCCCCCCATCGTGCAGTCCCCCAGTGGCACTACCATCCCCATGCAGCCCCCTAACAAGAGCCCTAGTGAGCCAAGGGACTCAGCCCCCAAGGCCCCTAAGTCCAACAACCAGCATCAGAAGGGGCCCCCAGCGGAGCCTCCCACCAGCACTTCGGTGCCTGAGCAGCCTGTGTCCTGCCAATCAGTGTCCCCTCTGGAGTACTGCTCAGAGTCTACCACTGAGGTAACCTGCAGCTGTCCCCGCCACCGCCCCTGGCTCCGATACCTGAAGCACTGCTGGCGGCTCAAACACCTGGCCTGCTAGGAGAAGGCTCAATAAAACTCTTCTGGCCAGCCTTGTCTCTGTCTGTCCTGGGGTGGGGTGTGTGTGTGTGGGTGGGACGGCTCTGTGGGGACCATCCCATCTAATCAGGAAAAGACACTGTGTGGCCCCATTTTACAGATGAGGAAACCAAAGGCTCAGAATCAAGGTCTTGCCAAGCAGCTGAGGTGAATTGGAGATGAGAATTTGAGTCCAAGTCCTTTATTTGGGAGGGGGTCCCAGGGAGCTCCAGTAGAGAGCAGGAACCTCAGATGGGGAGGGGAAGGAGCCACTGAAGTGGATGTGGCCAAGCCTGTAATAACAGTAGGCACCTAGAACTCTGGAGCCGAGTTTTGTACCCCGGGGAGGGGCTGGGACCCTGAGGCATCTGCAGTAGCAGTTGGGGAGGACCTGTGGCCTGCAGTGTCCATCACAGTCCGTCTGTCTCACCACTCAGCTCCTGTCTCCCACCCCACCCAGCTCTGCTTCTCCACATTTCTAGTCGGCCACAACTTCTTGTGTGAACACAAGAGGAGAGTTAGTAGAAAGAACAACAAGCTCCAACACTGCAGGTGCTTCCACCTGTGACTCGGTGGTTCTCAACCCAGGGCGATTTTGTCCCAGAAGACACTGGGTGGTGTCTGGAGACACTTTCAGTTTCTGGCCAAACACATCAGCCAAGTCCTGCAATCCTTTGACACATTATGCCTCTCACTCTTTAGCAGCCATGGATTGTCCCCAGCTGGTGGTGACCCTGTCCATCTAAGATAGTTTTCCCAAAAAGGAGGCAGTGCTGTGCAGCCACCAACACCACAGCCCCATGTGTCATACTTGAGAGCTCCAACGAGAGGAGGAAGTGCTGAGTGCCACTGCTGAGCAGTGTGTCCAAATCATTTTTTTTAAGATTTTTTTTTTAATTGGGGAATTGGGGGATGGGAACAGCGCTGGGGAATTGGGAGAAGGGGAACAGACAATTTCTGTCCTTTTGTTCTTCAGTCTAGTTGTGGAGGACGTTGCTTCACTGGCCCAAGTTGGCACCATCATTGTAGTCTTTCCGGGCGAGGCAGATCAGTCGCTGGCTTCTGGATGGCCGCTCACTGGCGGCTGCTGGCGGCTCACACTGGCTGCTGGCTACACACGGTAGCCCATGGCAACCCAACTGCCTTCCCCGGCTACTCATGGCAGCCCAGCTCCAGGTTGAGCTGTTGTTCAGCATCTTAGCTGTAGAGGGCAGTGTCACTGGCCCTCATATATGGGATCCGAACCGGGACCCTCTGGCGTCCCAAGCCAGTTCTTAACCAACGTGCCACTTGGCCGGCCCCCAAATCATTTCTTCAATCACTCAACAGATATTGAGTGCCTACTGTATGTCAGGCCCTGCTCCAGAAACAAAGGGTACAGTAAATAACCCAGAGAGATAAAAATCCCTGCTCTCATAGATTTGTAAAGGTGACAGCATGATAAATATATAACATGTCAGAGGGAGGTGAATGTCATGGGGAAAAGTGCAGCTGGAAGTTGGGGGCTGCAATGTCAGGGTCAGAGAAAGACCTCCATCGGGAAGTGACATTTGAATAGAGACGTGAAGAAGGTGAAGACACGAGTCTTGTGAGACTTGGGAGTGGGGTGGTCCAGGCACTGAAAAGAGCCTGTGCAAAGGCCCTGAGGCAGGCCTGTGCCTGGCGGTGTAGGGGAAGATTGGGGAGGCTGGTGTGGCTGGAACTGAGTGAGGGAGAGAAAAGAAGTGAGTCTGGGGGATGGGCCATGCAGGTACCTGGAAGGTGTGATGAGGACTTTGGCTTTTACTCAGGGATAAGATTGTCAGGAGGGAGGAAGGGAGGGTCAAGGGTAATCATTAATGAACCTGCATCTTCCTAAGAAGTCCACATGGGCACAGAGATCCCTGAATCTGCTTATCTCTGGTCCAGCTTTTTGAAGAATGTGGTGTGGTAGAGGTCTGGGGGAGGAGATGGCGGTGCTGTGCTCCATTGGCACCTGGCATCTCTCCACCCTCACCCTGCCATGCCTGGGGGCAGTGAAACGGCTTCTGGCTGTGCCCCTTGAAGGCTGTCTCCAGGCCCCGCTCCAGTCAGCTAACCAGGGAGCACAGGTGGGGAGGACACACACCTGTCTCATCAGGTGGAAACAGTAACATTTACCCCCTCAGTCTTGTTTTGTTTTTAATTTAAACATACAGGAGATTGTAGCCAGCGAATCAGAGCTAGTAAGACAATATGGCCAGCCCCTCCCAGAGACTTCCCACCCCTAAATGTAGCCCCATGCAGAAGTCGGGTCCACAGTATCTTCTGTCCTTTGTTGTCTGACTCAGAGCTGTGTCAGACTCATCACCACTGGGGGAACTAGCAGCACTTTGCTCTATTTCGTTGGTGGATAGCATTTCATACTGTGGGTAGGCCAGCGATTATTCACCCTCCTCCACTGTTGGTGGGCATTTGAATAGTTTCCAGTTTGGAGTTATTGTGATTAAAGCTGCTAGGGACGTTTTAGAACTGGCCTTCAATGAGCACAGCTGTCAGAGATTGCAGGGAGCAGGGTGAGTGTGTGTTTCCTGAGGCAGCCAGAACAAAGTACCACAAACTGGGAGGCTTAAAACAACAAGGATTGAGTCTCTCACATTCTGGGGCCAGAAGTTTGAGGTCAAGGGCTGTGCTCCTTTCAGAGGCTCCAGGGGAGGGTCCTTCCCACCTCTTCCAGCTGCTGGGGGCTCCCTGGGCTTGTGACCACATCACCCCCATCTCCGTCGTCACATGGCCGTCTTCTCTGTCTCTCCTCTGCGTGTCTCTTATGAGGACAGTTGTCACTGGGTTGAGGGCCTACCCGGATAATCCAGAATGATCTCATCTTGAGACCCTTAACTTAATCACATCTGCAAAGATGCTTTTTTTCCAAAAGAGGTTCCATTCAGAGGTTTTTGGGGTTGGGACATGGACATGTCTATTTAACACACTATCATGACTTGCATTCATCTATAGCAGACACAGCCAAAGTGTTTTCCAAAGTGGTTATGCCAACCTTACCTGCTTGCCTACATCTACCCCTGTGGGATGTAAGACAGTCCAGGGCTTTCCACAGCCCTTTGAGTGGACACGTGTCCTCCCATGGGTCAATCGTCTGGTACAGACAGGGTCAGTGAGAGAAGGGTAAGTCGCAGGCATGTGACAGGGGCGTGCCGTCTGCAGAGAATTAGGAACAATAAGAAAAACATGACTGACCCCCAGAGCTGGCATTCAGAAAGATCTCTGAAAATAATCTTTTGTGGGGCTAATGAAACAATCGCAGTTACCACTGTTTTACTAACATGGACACAAGTTTTCAAACGTGCCTGTTTTAATTCTTTATCCTTTAATAAACATCATCTCCTGTGGGAAGTGAATTTGGAGAATTCCCAGGTCTGGATGTGAAGACGCAGCTACCTGTTTCCTTGGAAGTTCCTGTCTGTACCCATCTGCAGTTACTTTGGGCAATGTTTGGGTCTCTAACCCAGATGGGCCCTGGATATTCCTGCAGGGATACAGTAACTAATAAAAAAAAAAGGCCAGGAATTGTAAACCTGAAAAAACACAAGTCCAGTCACTTTCCTTCCATTTTATGTAACCCCCTGGAGTTTTTATTTGTGTTTCAATGTAAAACAACAAAAATGTGTAATAGTGTAATATTTTTGGGTGGCAAATGCAAATGTTAGCTCCTCCCTGAACTGTGTTGAGAATTTGAGCATCTTTAGAATTGTAACATTTTATTCTCTCTTTAAATGGTTAGATTGTTTTAAAGCTAAAGAGAGAAAAAAAAAAGAAGTAATAATTACTGCGACCTGTTAGGCTTCATTACTGGAAACAATGTTGCTGCACAGAGGAGGGGCTGTAAAGAGACCCCACTGGGGAAGTCACTGCTCAGGTGGCCACAGGCCACCCTGCCTGCTGGAGAGGACCCTGCACTTGCCCCTCCCGAGAGCACCCGTCTTAACCCAGCCAGTTCTGATGGTTCAGGAGTAGATGGCAGGGCTGCCCCATGGAACCCTGGGGCTGAGAAGGCCTGAGATGCCCCTACTCCCTTGACACAAGGCAGAGGGGACAACCTTGGGCTAATGGTGGGAGGAATGGAGCTGCGGGTGGGTGCTGGGGTAAGAAGGTGGGTGGGTGGGGAGAGGCGTTCCTGAGGAAGGCAAGTGCTGATGAGAGAAGGCCCTTGGGAGTCTGCAAGCAACGCAGGTGGCTTGACTTTTTCCTCTCATCCTGCCACCAGGGGGCGCCCAGCCCCCACGCTTCCCTCTAGAACTGTGCCTTACTTTGCCGTGCTCGTGGAGACTCCTGGGATTTTCTAACAGCTGGAGATGACAGGGTCAGGCCTGGGACCGCCCAGGCACTGCTGTCCCCCTGGCACACAGTAAGTGCTCAATAACTACCCGTTGGAGGAATGCATGAATGAACGGAGGGACTAGAGAAGGACTCCAGAAAGAGTGTGATTCCCATGGTCAGGGCCAGGAAGGGCTGAAAGGATACTTGCAGATGGGGAAACTGATGCCCAGAGAGAGCCCTGGCCTGGCCTAAGGTTATCTGCAAGGTGAGCCCAAGCAGATCTGAGACCCATGCATTGCGTACCCCTCATCTACTGCCAGCATCCACGCCCAGAGAAAAACATGACCACGATGGTACAGAAGAGCAGTTTGTCCCAAATGAGAGCGTGAGCCACCCTATCTAGGGTAGGGAGGCAGAAGGTGGCCCCTCAGGGGCACCCCATGGGAGAGGGCCTTCTGGGCCACCCCAAAAACACATCCAATTCTCATAGGACCGAGGTCTGCCCTCCTGGTCCAGAAGAATATATGAAGAGAATTTTTTCAGAACATACGAAGATGGAGACAGGCTAAGGGCAGGGGCTCTGACTGCCAATGGGAGGGGTCCCCTAGGTGGCCTGAGACGAATGTGTGGCTCTGAAGGGGGCATGGGGAAGAGGCTTGAGACCTATAAAAGCCACCTGCCCCCCATCCTCATATATTCCTTGTCCTCACCCCACACAGAGTCAGACATACTGAGGTGGGGTTGGGGCTGGACCAGGAGGAGGAGGGGATGGGGTGTGTGAAATCACACACACACACACACACACACACACACACACACACACACATATATATATATATATATGTTGTGAGTGCGTGGTTGTGGATCTGACTGCCAGCATATCCCTGTGTCTATGCGGCCAAGTATAAACCCAGCCAAAATTGCTAAGGCTGTGAAGATTATCTCTGAACTTCCTGGTAGCCAGGGAAATTAGTATGTTACAGTGTCGGTTAGGTATGTCTTCTAGGGGGAATGCTTGTTTGTGGTAGTGTCTCTAAATATATGCGGGTGTGTGGGTAAGTGGCAGCACAAAGACAGAGCACAGAATGTCAGGGAGTTAAATAGTGATGAGCTTCCTGGTAGTCAGGGCAAGAAGGAAAACTGGTACATTACAATGTCTCATTAGGCACATCTTGTGAGAGTGTCTCTAAGCAGGTGAGTGTGAGGCAAGAGAAAAAAAAACAGACACAAAGTTTTGAATGTAAGATAGCTATGAGTTTCCTGGCACTCAGGGTGAGAGAGGTAATAATAAGAGTTAAAGAGGCAATTCAGTGTGTCCTCACCAATGCCTGCTTACTCGTGACAGTGGATCTGACTGCATGCAGAGATGTCTAAGTGTGTGTGTGAGGAAGGGTCACATAGCTGTGGTTAAGAGATATTTCTGAGCTCCCTGGAAACCAGGGCAAGAGAGGAAAGAGGTTGAGTTTGAGCCTGGTCAGGCTCATCTTTGTTGCTGTGTGTGGTGGGAGTCCTCATCTGGGGGCTCAGGCAGGGCAGTGTCGGGCAACCAAGCGTGCACGACTGTCCTCTGCAGGGCTCCAGGGCCGGGCATAGCCAGCGTGGGGCAACAGCAGCCGGTCCTGAGTGCCATCAGAGCTGACGAGGCGCCGGGCAGCCAGCAGGTACTCTCGATGGAGGGTCAGTGGTGGGCAGGGGCAGCGACCTGGTGCCCACACGTATTCGAGGGCCCGCAGTGGGGAGCGGTTCTTGTAGACGAGCTGCACACGCACCTCATAACGGGTCTCCTGAGCCTGGTAGAGGCGGCCCAGCACTCGAGCCTGGAACACTGTGAGCAGGGTGATGCTGAGAGTGGCTGGACTCTCCAGCCTCCAGGCACTCCATTGCCAGATGAGAGAACTGAGGGTCAGGTGGGATGTGGCGGGGGTGGGGAGGGGTCTGGGGACTGTGAAGAGGGGACTGGGGTAGCTGAGGCCTGGGGTCAGCATTAGATTAGGGATCAGTGAAGACTTAATTAGAGCAAAGGGTCAGATCAAGGAGTCAAGGGTGAAGTCAGATGAGGATCAGAGGTAAGCAGGACAGGAGCCAAGCTCAAGTCAATTAGGGACCAACTGGGAGTTGGGGAAATAGTTCTCTCACCAAAGTCACTGCTGCAATAGTGGAGTAGCCGGTGGGCGCGACCACGGGTGTCAGGGCAGGGTGGGCAGGGGTCTGTGTTTTGGGGGGGGGTGCAGTCAGGGCACGTGCCTCACCTTACTGCTTGCCCCCACCCTGGCCATCCCCACCTCACCTGGGGAGGGGGTTAGGGTCTGTGGGGAGATGGCAGCAGGCACTGCAGGGGTCTCAGGGGGCTGAGGTTTCACCCCCCGAGGTTGTGGCTGTCGCAGGGACCAGTCCAGGGCCTGTGTCTGCTCCTGGAAGGGGCCATAGCGTTCCCGAGGGAGCCAGAACTCAAACTCAATACCAGGGTTGGGCTCCTGCAGGAGGACCTGAGGGGAATATCACACACTAGGAAGCTGAACTCCGAATTGATGGCCCAGCCTCCCCCCTCTGACTTTCTACCTTTGCCTCCCCTCTCTGATTCTCTACCCTAGCTTCCCACCTCTGACCATCTCTAATCCAGCCTCCCCGCTCTGACCCTCTGTCCCCAGACTCCCCCAGATCCTTTCCCCCGCGACACATGCCCTGCCCTCCTCTGAAGGCCTGGCCCACACCTGCAGGAGCAGATCTTGGGAGGTGGGCCCGGCGGCGTGCAGCGTCTCCTCTAGCCCTGTGGCGCGGGTGTAGATCACGTGGGTGCCTGCCGCCTCGTAGGTCCCCGGCGGGCTGACCTCCCAGTTTCCATTGAGCAAGTAGCTCCCGTCGCTCATCATCAGCGCTGCAAGAGAAAGGTCAGCCAGGGTACACCAGGACTGGCCCTTCCCACCTCCCGACCTAGGCTTTCCACTCCCCAAGTCTGTCTCCCGGCAGCACCCGAGTGGGCAGCAGGGCGCATCCCCCCCTCTGACCCTGCGATACCCAGGTGGTTGCGGCTCCGGTGGGAGGCGCGGATGTGTCTGGCGCCCTCGGGGATCAGTGTCACGTTCCAGTACCCAGCGAAGGCTCCTGGGCGGGAGGGAAGGAGGCTGTTGGGGTGTGGGTGGGGTGTATTTGAGGGATGCTTTGAGGGTTAAATGAGATTCTGCGGGTAAGAAGGTTAGCCAGGGTCCTGGTATCCCAAAACGCTCCGTAAACGTTTGGAGTTAAGATTATTATCGTTTAAGTGAGGCAATGAAAGAGTTAAAACCCATTCGTTCGGGGGGGGGGGAACAATCTGGCAATAACCAATCAGAATGATGGGCGAGCCTCAGACTGCCCAATCAGCACGGGACTTTGCTTCCGGGCCGCGGCTCCTTGAAGGGCCCTCTCTGGGAGAGCGGAGAGGAAGGGGCTAGCGGTCACCGGCATCACGAAACACGCGCTGCACAGAGAGGCACGAGTCGTTGGCGCCGCCGCAGCGGCCGCAATGGTCCTTGCGGGCGTCCGAACCCATCAAACCGTCACAGCCGGCACTCTGAAGGTTGGGAGAACTCAAGTCACAGAGAGCCCCTCCCACGACCGGGGCCTTGGCCTGGGATAGGACGCGGGGCTCCGATCACTAGAGGGATGGGGACTAGGGACGAGGGTGGAGCCTGAAATAAAAGAAATAGGGCCTGGAGTAACGGTGCGGGCCCAGAGGGAGGAGCCTGGGGTGGAGCCTAGGGAGGGCGGGGCGTATGAGAGACGGGGGGCTAAGGAACTAAAGGGAGTGGGGTCTGGGGGCGGGCCTGGATGGGAGGTGGGCGGGGTCTGGAGAGTCCTTACGAGGCAGCGGCCAGCCACGCAGAGCCCCTGACTACGGGGGCTGCAGGGAGTACCGTCCAGGACACGACCGAAGCTGTGGTAGAAGGCGTGACCCACAGCCAGGCAGTTGAGGTCGCACTGATTGGGCGCTGGGGGCGGGAGGAGTGAGTGGGCCAGGTGTCATCTATTCCAGTTCCAGCCCCCTTCCAGCCAGAATCCCTCAGAAAGCCATCCCTTTGGGCAGATGAGGTCCAGAGACTTGGCCAAAACCACACATCAAGGCTGAAGCGGAGCCAGGACTGGACTTACAAATTCTGCCTCCAGCTCCCTGAGACTCTCCCAGCAAGTATTCTGGCCCTGTATGCATGCATGCATGTGTGCGTACATTCATTCATGTTAAGTATTAATATCAGAAGTCTTTACCTGTTATCCATTATTATCCATCGTTTCCCATTCTTCATTCATTCTTTCATTCATTCATTCCACAGACACTCATTGAACACCTACTACTTTCCAGACAGGGTTCTAGGCCCAGCATTGGGCAGAACTCAACAGTGCTTGGGACCTGCACCCAGCAGGTGCCCAATAAAAAGTGTCCAGTGCTGACTGGGTCCCACATAGCCTGGGTGTGTCTCTGGCCCTCCTCAGGATTCAGTTTCCCCCTCTGCTGGGCAGAGGAGCATAAAGGGCAGTCTTCACACACCCAGGCTCATAGCCCTGACCCCTGTTCTTGCCAATTAAGCTCGCATCTCCCTGAGCCTGGCTGGCAGACCCTGCCTAGAACAGAGCCTGAGATGGCCCTGGTGGGCCTCTCTGGAGGTGGAATCATGGCAGGTTTCTTCCAATTTTTAGGGCAAAGAAAAAAAAAAATAACCCATGAGGTCGATGAATGGAACTTTCTCCATTCTAGGCTTTGTTTATTTGTGTCTGCCCCCACCGCTGCGTTGAGGCTGCCTGTCTCTCTTAAATTTGGAGGTGCACTGCCCCAGGGCACACAGTTATATAACTTGCTATTTTCAGCTCAATGCAACATTTCCTGCTACCGGGGTAAGTTTGAGAACTGTTGGCCTCTGGATACACCTCCAAGTAAATCCTCAGCCTGGTGTTCAACCCTGTGCAGAATAGGCCTGCCTTCCTCTGCCCCTGCTTTACACCTCACACATGCTTTTCCCCCTTCACTTCACCAACTCCTACAAGTCCTTCAAAGCCCAAGTGCTAATGCCCCCTCCTTCTTACAACCCCCCAAGTTTCCCTTTCTTCTTAGCAGCCACTTCTCCCTGGCAGCTCTGAGATGTTCCCTCTGGCCCAACAGGAGGGCAGGTTACTCACCACCATAAAAGGGTACCCATTGGTAGGTCTTCTGGGAGCCCAGGACAGGGTAGCCATTGTACAGGGCACACTGGAGGTCTCTGAAGAGCATGGCCCCTGGGGGACAGTCCTGGGGACAGAGATGGGAGGGTCAGAAGCTGGGACAGCCTTGGGGGAACCCAGAGAAGCTGGTAGGGTGGCAAACATATTTGGGAGCATGAATGGGGAAGCAGGGGGGCTTCAGGTCAGACTAGAAGGTCTGGGAGGTGGACAGAACTTACCGGCAACTGGCAGAGGCGATACTCGTGGGTGTTACCCCAGCACAGTTCTTCCCTGGGAAATCTATGAGGAGCAAGGTGGTCAGAACCCCCAGGAAGCCCCTCCCCAGAGCCAATGTGCACATCCTCCATTCTCCCCAACCCTACCCACATTCCCACTGGATCAGTAAGATTAAAAGGCACAGCATGTGTGGGCAGGCAGAGGGTGCGGCCAGGGGCTGGGCTGGGCTGGCAGGAGAGGAGGGGCAGGGACCCCCTATTGCCCCGCCCAGCTGAGCTCCAGCTCCCTGCTCACCGGATGCAGCGGCGGCTTCGCACAGAGAGACCCCGCCCACAGGAGCTGGAACAGGGGCTCCAGGAACCCCACAGCGTCCACTCACCGGGACCCTACTTGGGGAGAGAGAAGCACAGTCAGCCTGGAAGGGAGGCTGGCAACCCCCATACAGCTGGGTCTCCATGCCCAATGCCCCCTGGTCTCATGTCCCCCCTTACCTGAGCACTGCCCCCCAAACTACAGCTCAGAAGGGTCCACATCAGGAGCAGGAGGTTCCAGAGGGGATGGGGTCTGGGGGAACAGAGAGGGTCACTGCAGTGGGGGCATCAGAAGGCCAGGGGTTGAAGCCAGCTCTGCCCTGACTGTGTGATTTGGGGCAGTAACTTAGCCTCTGAGCCTTCCTCTTCATCTCTAAAAAATGGGGTGACAATACAGCCCTCTTAAGGAAACTTTTGAGGGGCCTGTCAGGTAAGAAAAATGAGAGGCACAGAGCCTGGTATGAAGATAGAGAGTTCAGAGAATTATTATTTTTATTATTATTGGTTGTTTATTGTATTATGATGCATACAGTAGGTGCATAATCAGTGTCTAATGACAAAACAACTCATTCCAGGATAGTGCACAGGTGTCTCCAGGGTCGGGGCCCCTCCCCATCCTCCCCACCATCATTGCTTCTATCTTTCTGTGAGGCCAGGAGCCAGCCACTCCACTTACCCAGGCCTCAGTTTCCCCATTTGTGCAGTGGGGTCAGTCAGGACTCTGAGACCTTGCAGAGGTGGGGTGATCAGGGGCCAGGTCCCTCCAGGGCCCCCTCAGCTTCCAGACCCTCAGCAGCAGGGAGCCCCTGGATTGAGGAGGGGTGAGGAGGGATGACCTGGCTCTGGTCCAGCTGTAGCCTCATGGCCTCATGAGCAGAAGGTGTGGGATGGAGTGCCAGGGTGGTCTGCAGAGGGAAATGGGCCACTGATGAAGATGACACAGAAAAAGGAGGGTGGCTGGGGGGGTGGGGGTGCTGGGCTGGCGACGTTGCCACCCCAGGCCTCAGTATCCCCAGCTGTCAGGGGAAAAATAAAGCCACTTGTCATCCACACCCTCTGCATGACCATGACATTGGCAGAGAAAGGGGGAGGGAAGTGGCTGTCTTGTGAGTCCTTTCTCGGGCCAGAGCCAAGGAGCCCAGCCGTCAACAGTGCCCAAAGGACGCACAGGACAAGCTAAAGTCCTCCAGCCCCTGAGCACCTGGGCACCAGATGGGAGAAGGCTAGGCCCTGCTGGACTCATGGCCCCTCTTGAACCTCAGTTTCCCTGTATCTCAGGCCCTTTTTGTTCTGACATTTGGACCTGGGGCACCAGAGGTGTGGTGCCAAAGTGGCTCCAGGTGCTGAAAACCTGGGAGACTGTAGGGTGGTCCCCCTCTCTGACCAGAGCTGTGCAGCCAGTTGCATCTCGGCTTCTCTCTGACCCCAGCACACCGGCTGGCCCAGAAAGCAGGAAGAAGTTTGAAGGGGAGAAGAGAGACAGGAAAGGGAGGCTGGGCTTCTGACACCCCCACCCGACTCAGCACTGGCTGTGAGGTGGGGGTCTAGGTGATGGAAAACGAGGGGTTAGAAGAACCATCCTCCCATTCCCCAGAGCCCCCTCCCTAAGGAGCAGAACACTTATACCCTGTTTAGGCTGCATTCCTAACTGTGGGTGTGATCTCAGGGCAAGCCCTGCCTCTGGGCCTCAATTTCCCCAGGAGAAAGTGGGGATGGGCTTTCTCCCACCCTGGGGATTGCTACCTTGCCACACACCACCCCCAGCCCTACCGGGCCCAGGGAGGGGAAAAGACACCGACCCGGATAGTGGGAGGATAGGAAGAGGGACTTACCAGTGATGTAGAGCATAGGCAGCGCGTCCCGGCTCCTCCGGCGGCCCCAGAGCAAGCGGAAGCAGCGGAACCCGCGGGGAGGGGCGGCGGGGGAGCCCAGATCGGCCCCTCCCACCGGCCTCCCAGGGCGCGCCCAGGCTGGGGTCCAAAGGGGCGGAGGCCCCGTGCACCCTCGCGCGACTGTGGTGCGCTTCGGCGCGGACCTGCGTCAGGGGACTGCCTCTCACAGACCCGGTCCGGTATCCCCAGAACCGCGGTCTGGTGTCTGACAGTCCATGTCCCGGTGACTTTGGGAATCCCAGGGCGGGGGAGCCGCCCGGGGACTGGCTGCCCTTACCCCCACCCCAGGGCTGCTATTCCGGGCGCCGCGCTCAGGGCCTGGGAATGTGCGCGAACCGAGGTCGCCCTGCCCGAGTTCCGGGAGTCCGGGACGCTGCCCTTTCTCCACCAACGTTTAGTTCAATTCCCTTTGCCGGTCACTATCCCCTGCTCCTGTCCTTCCCTCCTCCTTCCCCTCAAGGCCACTCTACTATGGAGCCCAGGCGCCTGGGTTCTGATCCTGGGATTCCTGCCCCAGGTCCTGGCCATCCCCAGCTCAGAACCCAGCGCACTGCGGAGAAGCTTAGCCCCAGGGGCCGGGCGTCGGGGGCGGAGAGCCCCCTCCCAGCAAGCACATTCCCGGGCTCTGCTGTCACCAGAAGACGGGCCCCACCCCACCTCCCACCCTCCCTGCCAGGCCCCCGGGCTGCTAGCAGCGGCTTTGGAACCAGACCCGGGTCCAGAAGGTCCCACTTCTGTGAGGCCGGTGGTCCTACCCTTTCCAACCTCAGTTTTCCCAAATGGGGCTGGCAGCGTCTTCACGGAACACTTCCAGCTGGACTTCAGCTCTGCACGGACTGGCAAGTTCAGGGCTACCCCAGGGATCCCACTACCCCACCCTTTCCCACCTGCTGCCTCCCCACCCTGCCCACTCAGGGATGCAGCTGGCTTCCTCTTCTTGCCACTTACACTGACTCCTCACTATTACCCATACTGCTCCCTGGTGGGCAGGTTGAGGAGATAGGGCACCAAAGGGGCGATTGGTGGACTGCCCCTCTGCCCACAGGCTTGGCCAGACTCAGCTTAAGTGCCCCCTTCTCCTGGAAGCCCACTATGGGGGTCTCCCAGCCCTGACCACAGGGTGGTGGTCCAGATCTGTCTGCCCTCCTGCCTAAAGGAGTTCAGAGGAGGCCCATTCAATGCTGTTCATTCAGTCAACATTTACTGAGCACCAAATATGTGCCAACAGTACTGTGGTGAACCACCCAGCCAGTCAGGCAGTGAGGGAGACAGCCCTTGGGAAGGTATAATCTCACCTTGTGATCAGGACTCTGAGAGGAAACAACCCAGGCCCACTGAAGATGGGGAAGGAGGTGTGTCAGGAAGGCCCTCACTGAAAAGGTGATTGCCACAGGAGGTGGGGGGAAGGGCAGCCCGGAAGGGCAGCCCAGAAAGAGGGAACAGCATGTGCAAAGGCCCTGAAGCTGGAATAAGAGAATAAGGGAATCAGGAAGTGGGGCGGGTGGAGCAAGTGGCCGGAGAGTGGGCAGGGATGAGGTCAGAGTGGGGAATGGAGCCATGGGAAGTGGGAGAGGGTGCTCTAGCTTTGGAAAAGCTGCCCCCGGCTGCTGTGGGGGCCAGGAAAGTCATGAGAGGCAGCAGCGGGTGTCCTGGCAGGACCGAGTCAGGGTATGGGTGGAGGTGAGAGCAGTGGGTGTCTCCCAGCAGTTTGGGAGCAGAGTCTGCAGGAGTTGCTAACAGATCCCAAGGGAGAGGTGATGGGAAGAGACGAGGAGCTTAGCCTGAGTGGCTGGTGAAGGGAGGTGCCCCATTTACTGAAGGGGACAGGCTGGGGGTAGGTGGGAGTGGGAGGGCGAGTCCATCAGTCACTTCTGGACAGGTCTAGGGTGAGATGTCTGTGGGTCACCAATAAGAAGCTGGGAGTCCAAGGGTCATGTATGGCTGGAAATGGACACGTGAGTATCCTTGGCACATGGGAGTGTTCAGTTTCGTGGATGAGGTCACAGGGCATGAGCATGGACAGAGCAGTGCAGGGGAGGAGAATGGGTGAGTGTGAGGTCTCAGAGGCCACAAGGACTGTGTGGGCAAGATGTGGACATGGACCAGTGGACCAGTGGATTGGCACTGATGGAGGAAGTCGTGACCTTGACGAGGTTAAGCCTGGTTGAACTGGGCAGGAGAGGAGTGGGGATGGTGAGAGCAGGCACCTTCTGATGAGCACTGACTATGTACTAAGCTATGAGCTGGGGCCTGGGAGGCCATCAGAAATAAATCATGCCTGGCCCAGGGACTCCACAATTGCCAACCCCAAAATTGCCTTTTTCCCGGAGCCACAGCTCATGGTGCTATGCGGGGAGTGTATACAGCAGGCACTGTGTCCTGCATGAAGCATATATAGAAGGTGTTATGCTCTGTAGGGAATATATGCAGCAGTTACTACATCCTATAGAAATGTAGACAGCAGACACTTTGCTTTGCATGGAGTGTATACAGTAGGTACTGCATCCGGCAGGGAGTGCATATAGTAGCACTGAACCTTCCAAGGGGTGCATACAACTGTACAGGCACTGTACTCTGCAGCCAGTATATGCAGCAAGTACTGAGTCCTGTAGAAAGTGCATATAACAGGCAATGCACACTGCACTGGGGCCCTAGCACTTGTGGGGTCACCAAGTGGGGATGGGATGAAGGTGCAGAGTCCTGCTCCCCCCCACCCCCCGCCCCAGTCCTTGTCTCCGCTGGGTCTCTGGCTACCACCTCTGTCCTTTGGACATAACAGGACCCAGCAGATTCCTGGAAGATGAAGCCTGGAGCTCGTCTCAGAACACCTGGTACAGGTGGAGGGGTGGTTGTGAAGTTCAGAGGCCCCAGGTCCAGTGGCATCTCAGCCCCTCATCTGATGCTCTGGCCTAGACCCTGACCCAGGGGCAGATGGATCCCTCTACTATGACCTCCACCTCGGACCCCCTCCCTGAGGCAGAGCCAGGATGGGATCGGGCTAGTACATGTGGGCCCAGTGGAGGTGGGTCAGCAGGGCTCCTTCTCCTTCTGTGGTCTCATGGCCTTGGGGCTTAGGAAATGTCTAGGAGCAGATCCTGTGGCCTCCCCATATCCCCTCCCCCAACTCCCTGTGCCACTGGTGATCCCTGGGGCCTGGCCACATGGTCCTAGGACACTTCAGTCTCCTGAGTTGACTGGGTGGGAGGGGTCCTAGATCTGCCCAGATGTCCCTGGGCATGAGCATGGGTACAGCAGGAACTGGGACCCACTACGGCCAGGGTCACCCATGAGAGCTGGGATTGCCACCCAGGAAGAACCGCCCCAAGAACATGAGAGGCAGGAAATAGAAAGGGCCAGATTTCTGAGACCATTGTTTAAGTCTCTGGATCGAGCCATACCTGAAGCCACCCATCCAGTGTTTTCACTGTAGCAGCTTTGGGTTCCTGAGACGTAATCAAGAGGTCTTCACTAATGGGGAGCAGCATCCTTTGCATCACTCTTGCTCTGGACAGGTCCTAGTTCTCATGCCACTGACCCAGTGACTGAGCACTTCACCTACTGGGAATTCATCCCTGCCTTGGGGGTTCCCATATCTGATGTGACACTCTTAACTGCTTCCCATAAGAGAAATCCGCACCCCCACTTTGCGGGTCAGGACACTGAGGTGAAGAGGGGTGAAATCACACGCAGCGAGACTCAGAGGATCTGGGACGACTCCCCACCCACATCTGAATGGGTGCCCTGAGCTCCTTTTGGGTCAGGGATGTGGGGGGTACTTACCAGGCAGGACCTGGAGGATGAGGGAGAGGGTATTTCCAGCAGAGGAAACAGCATGTGCAATAGCCAGGCAGCCAGAGGAGCAGGGTGAAGCCCTAGGCCAGAGTACAGGGAGCAAGGGGGTCAGCTTCCAGGCCAGAGAGGGGCAGGGGCCACACAGGGCTCAGTGGCTGGGTAACATGAGACAGTGACTCAGAAATGACAAGTCATCTAAGGTATGTTGTTACATGATAAAATTAGAAAAATCAAGCACTATATGATGGCCGTTTATATAAAAGTACACGTTACTATAAACTCAGACAGGGAATCGAAGATACACCCCTAGCATTGCCCACAGTGATCTTGGGGTGAGGTTACAGGTGACTTTATGTTACTGCCTTATATAGGTTGGCTTGAATTTCTTGTAATGACCTCCTAATTCTTGTGTTTATTTTTAAAATAAAATTTAAATTTTGGAATAATTTTAGATTTACAAAAAGTTGCAAAGACACTAGAGTTTTTGTCTACCCTCTGTCGTCAGTAGTATACTATCCTCTCCCCAAAGGGACCTGTGGACATGTCACCTCATGTGGTATAGGAGACTTTGCAGATGGATTAAGTCAAGGATCCTGAGATAGAGATGACCCTGGAGGGTCAGAGAGGACAGTGGTTCTAGAAGGAGCCGATGACAATGGATGCTGGGAAACTGGGAGAGGCAAGGAAAAGGTTTGGCCCTGGACAAGTGGAAGCCAAGTCCCCTGCCCCCAACACTGGACCAGTCTCAAGGCAGCACCGTGCCACAGTCATGGGGTTTCTGGAGCACAGTGGCAGGGTCCCCTCCCACCGCTCTGCTCACGAGGCCCTGTCCCCAGGGGCTGAGCTCACGAGTACAGACATGAGGGAGTCCACACAGTTCAAAGGCCAGGAGACCAGAGAGGTACCTGGAGCTGGGGCGATTCACATCTGCCCATGTGCTCTTACCCTGGCATCTTCTGGGAGAAGGGGGCTGTGCCAAGGCTGACCCCATGCCCAGCCCTGCAAGCCTCCCCTGGGTGGCCTCTGGGAGTCTGCTGTCTCAGCAGCTGCCCGCTCACCTACAGCAGGTATTTTGAGTGAAGCTTTCCGCACTTCTCCCGGGAAATCTGCTGAGTCTGGGGAGTTATCTCAGGTCAGTGAGAGCACAGATTGGAGGGAAAGCAAGACTATTGCCTGGGTATGGAGGATCAGGTGGTAGATGGCTAGGTGGGGTTCCAGCCCAAGGCTACCCAGGCTTCTGAAACGCTGGGCAGGGGTCAGCATGGGAGGGCAGGCAGCCATATGAGCCCTGCCCCTTTGCAAAACTGATTCTGTGATTGGCACACAAACTATGCCTCAGTTTGCTTATCTGTAAAATGGAGGTTTTAGTAAGCCCCCTAAGGCTGTGTATTTTTTGGCTGGGTGGGTTGAGGAATCTAATGTGTTTTTCCTTTTTTTTTTTATTTTGGCAAAATACACATAATAAACTTTACCATCTTAACCATTTTAAACACACAGCTCAGTAGCATTAAGTACATTCACACTGCTGTGCAGCCATCCCCACCATCCATCTCCAGAACTTTCTCATCTTCCCAAACTGAAACTCTGTCTCCGTTAAACACCTATTCCCCCTCAGCCCCTGGCCCCCACCATCTACTCCCTGTTTGTGAATCTGACTCCTCTGGGGACCTCCTGTGAGTGAGATCACATAGTATTTGTCCTGTATCTGGCTTATTTCATTCAGCATAATGTCCTCAGGGTCCATCCATGTTGTAGCAGGTGTCGGAATGTCCATCCTTTTCAACACTGAGTAATATTCCAGTGTGTGGATGGACCACACTTTATCCATTTATCCGTCAGTGGACACTCAGGTTGTTTCCTCCTGTTGTGAATCGTGCTATTATGAACAGCTGTTTTTCATTTTAGTCTAGTTTTTTCATTCTAGGGTGCTGGGGGAGAGGGTTCCTGCTCAAGGAAGTGTAGGCTGGGAATGGGAGGTCTCCTCAGCCCTGTGGTGGAAGTTCAGCCAGGAAAACCCAATGGGCGGCCAGGAAGGGGGGAGACTGGTGTCTGTGCAGAGGGCGTCAGCTGACAGGCAGGCTGTGTGGCACCAGCCAGGAACTTTGGATTTATTCCCACTAGGAGGCTTCTGGGTGTTCAGTGGGCTCAGCCACCCGCCCCAGTGTGAAGGCTCTGCCTGCCCTCCTGGGAGGCCTGGGGGACAGTTTGGGGCAGCAGGGGCTCTGGACTCACTTACTTACACTTCTGATGGGGCTCGGCAACAGCCCAGTGCCCTGGGCTTGTATGTGACTTCCTGAGCCTCAGTTTCCTCATCTGTAACATGAGGCTAAGAATAGCACCTACCTCCAAGACAAGTCACTGCCCTGAAGGGGCATGGCTTACTCATGCACACCTCCCGAACCCTCCCCAGCCCCCTGACTCTGCTAAGTCTGGACGATCTCCTGGCAATCTTTGTATGAGGGATGGGCAGATCTGTCTTGGGCACGCAGAGCCCAGCACAGGTTCCCCACATTGGTCAGTGTTTATCAAATACCTCAATTAGCACGTAGATGGAAGTATGCTATTGAGAAGGGACCAGCTGTCTGCCCTCGTGGATTCCCAGGTGACAGTGACGTGACAGCTCAGGTCCACAGGCCCCTTAGCTGCCCACCTTCTGTTGCACTGCACCTGGTTCTAATTAGAAGGGGACTCGGGCTCCCAGGTGACAGCCAGCTGGCCCCTTGCACTGGCCTGGAATACTTGGCCCTGGTGCTGAGGCTGCCCCACCAAAGGTCCCTGAGTCTTGCTCCGTCAAACATACTGGGGCCCCCATTTGACATGCCAGGTGACCATGTGACAACTCAGAAGGTGTTTCCTGTCCCCGGTGGCATGGCTGGGTCGGATTCTGAAATCTGGTCTTTGGAAAATTCCGAGGCCTGATTCCAGCCACACAGAGCCCTGTTAACCCCGCCCCACTTGTTGTGTTATGTAACATTTGGAGATTAATACGGAGGCAGCCAGAGGCAGCTACCAGGATTCAAACTCAGCACTGTTCCTTCCTTGCTGGGTAAGCAACTTAACCTCCCTGGGCCTCAGTGTGCTCACCTGTAAAATGGGGACAGGCCAGTTCCCATATCCCAGCATTAGAAGAAGGGTAAAAATGAGAGAACACAAGGAAAGGGCCTAGACCTGAGGCTGGGCTACTGCTCAGAGATGCCCCCATAATGTCGAGAGAAACCGGAGCCCACCCACTTGTCCTCCCATCCAACTGTCTCTCCTTGGCTGCCCCTACCAGGATTCACAAACCCCAGTGTCCACCCATTGGTTCCCCAATTCTGTCCCTTCTCACTGCTGAGCATCCCTCATATGACAACTTCCAACACTGAGCAGTGCCTCCTTGTGGGTCTCTGCCCCAGGCCTCACTCCCCACCCCGCCAGCCCCAGTCCCAGAGATACTGGGTTTCTTTCTTCTCTGGATTATGCTGTGCCCCCACCCCAGTGCTCAGGTGATTAAGCCCCAAAGTGTCATGTGGGTCCCAGAAACTCACCTACAGGGAGGACCCATACATTCAGAACTATTGTAGATTCATCATCTCGAGTGCACTTTAGGATAAGGCCGCCAAGCCTCGAACCCCACCCGCCTTTCCCTGGGAGGCCTCTGAGAAAATGAGACAATCCCTCTGGGCCTCAGTTTCCCACTCAGTAAAATGGGCGTGTCGACAGTTCGCAGCTTAGCAGAAGGTGCAGGATTGAAAGAGCCAGAGGGCTGAGCGCACCAGAGTGGCGCTGGGTTGGCGCGCCCAGCGCGAGCGCCGCTCTTGTCACTGGAACTCCCGCCAGCCGGACGTCCCCGCACGCCCACGCGCCCCCCACGCACCTGTTCCCTCCGGCAGCCAGCCAACCCCTGAGCGTCTGGACTCCGCCCTCTCCCCTCCCCCCAGCCAATAAGACTCGCCGCCGGTGGCGCAGCCCCCAGAGGCGCGGCGCAGTGGTCCCAGCGGGAGGCTGCCAGTGCCCGCGCCCCGCACCCACCAGGCTCCCGCGCGGGATGGAGCCCAGGCTGCGGTGGCGGCGCAGTTGCCGCTCGCCTGTCTCCGCTTTCCTGCGCGACCCGGGCTCGGGGCGCGTCTACAAGCGCGGGAAGCTGATTGGCAAGGTGGGGATCCCGGCATCCCGAGTCCGCAGCCAGGGGGCCGGGCCGGGCGGGGGTCTCAGATGGGCGGGTGGGCTGTGCATACACGATTGTGAGAGCAGAAAAGCAGGTGTGCATCCAGCTGGTTTACCCGCTGAGCCCCGGGCTTTATCTCTGCATGTGTCGTGTGACTGGAAGAGTTTGGGGTCTGGCGTTGGGCTGGGCGCCTAGTCTGTAGTGGCCCCGCTGTATGGCGTGCATTGTGTGGCAGGAACCAGTATTTGGCTTGCTGTGCAGTGTGGGTGGGTTGTGTGTCCAGGTGTGTGAGTGTGTGTCTGAGCGTGTAACCAATCTCTGTGCCTTTGTTTACTCTGTTGTGTTGTCTCCAGGTGTGTATGTGTGTGTCTGAATTTGTTACACATTTCTCTGCTTTCTGTGACTGTTATGGATGTCTCCTTCTGAGTAGATGTGTCCCTGTTCCTTTGTGTGAGCCCAGGTGCTACATTGTGTATCCAAGCATGAGGGTGTGTGTGTGTGTGTGTGTGTGTGTGTGTGTGTGTGTGTGTGTGTGTGTAAGAGAATCTAGGGCTGGCCACCTGTCCACCTACATATGTGCACCTGAACACTGAGCTCACGAATCCGCTCCCTGAAGGGCGCCTTCAGCCGCTGCTACAAGCTGACCGACATGTCCACCAGTGCGGTGTTCGCGCTCAAGGTGGTGCCGCGTGGTGGGGCAGGGGCCGGGAGTCTGCAACCCCGTGGGAAGGTACGCCCCCCCCCTCGCGCATCAGTGCCCAGGGTCCCCATGCCCACAGCGGGTACCCGGAGAGGTCCCTGCCCTTGACCGTAGGCTGCATGCCCCGTGGAGGTGAATACCGCGTGCGGGGTATGTGCAGGTGGGGCTGTGCCCACAGGTGGAGCGAGAGGTCACCCTGCACAGCCGCCTGCGACACCGCAACATTGTAGCCTTCCATGGACACTTTGCTGACCGTGATCACGTGTACATGCTATTGGAGTACTGCAGCCGCCAGGTGCCCGCACCCTCCCTCCCCTTCTGTGCTCATCTTCTTGCACCCCTGTCCATCTCTACTTATCTGTTTCTACCTGTGCCCACACCAGGCCCATCTGTGCTCACCCTAGGCTTTCTTGACTTACCTAGGCTCACCTGTGTGCACCTGTGCCTAATTTATTCTGTGGTCACCAGACTCATCTCATACTCATCTGTGGTTACCTGGGTCCACCTGAGCACACCTGTGCTCACCTGTGTCCCTCCAGCACTAAGCCATGCCCCATGCCCCCAGTTGAACTTAGTTGTGCCTTCATAGACACCTTGAACTCACTTTGCCCACTTAAGTACACCTGAGCTCACCTGTGTCTCTTTGGTATTGGCTCTGGCCTGTGGGTCACCTGCAGTCATTGGCCCACGTGCTGGAAGCACGGCAGACACTGACAGAGCCTGAGGTCCGCTACTACCTGCGGGGCCTGATCAGCGGCCTTCACTACCTGCACCAGCGGCATATTGTGCACCGGGACCTGAAGCTCAGTGAGTGTGGACTGGGGAACTGTGGGGATGTGGCAGCTGAGGTGAGGCTACCACCATGCCCAAGCCTGTCCCTCCCACACATGTGCCTGTCCCTCCACACCTGTGCTTCTCCCCTCATCTGGTAGGTAACTTCTTCTTGAACAAGAACATGGAGGTGAAGATCGGGGACCTGGGGCTGGCTGCCAGGGTGGGGCCAGGGGGCCACTGCCACAGGTGAGAGGGAGGCTCTCAGCAGTCTCTCTGGGGGAACACAGGTGAACCTGGTTTGGCATAGGAGATCCAGCCTTCCTGAGCCCCCCCATTACCTCTCCCAGAGTACTCTGTGGGACCCCTAACTTCCTGGCCCCTGAGGTCGTCTCCAGAAATGGGCACTCCTGCCAGTCGGACATCTGGGCACTGGGCTGCATCATGTGAGTGGGGCCCTGGGAGCCCAGGCCTGGGGAGCGGTCAGGAGTGCCCAGGTGGTGCCAGGTATAGGGAGGTGGGAGCATATAAGGAGGTAAGGACAGGCATAAATATGTACAGTGGGAGGATAGGCAGGTGTGAGCATATATACAACAGATGTGAACAGATATGTGCAAGTATGGGGCAGGTGGAAGAATGTACCTGCCATCATTTGAGCATGCAGGTATGAATGGGGCATATGGGGGGATGTATGTGCAAGGGAGGACAAGTTTGAGCATGCACAGAGGTGTGGACACATGTGTGCAGGTGCTAGGTGCACAGGCAGGCCAGGGCATGTATACAGGTATGAGGTACATGCAGGAGTGGAGCAGGTGTAAGTATGCATAAAATAGAATTGAACAGGTGCATGCAGGTGTGTACAGGTGTAAGCCAGGTGCATGCAGGTGTATCAGCAGATGCTGGTGTCTGTGAGCAGACAGGAATAGCCAGGTGCGAAGAGATGTGGGGCAGTTATGGAAATGTGGATGGATGGGAAGCATGTACAAAGTAGGGGAGTGTGGGTAGGTATGGCCCGGTGTGCACAGGTAGGTGTGAGCCAACATTGGACCAGCCCAGGACAGATACAAGCAGACACCCAGGTTCCTGCCCAACCCCCGGCCCAGGTACATGGTGCTGACTGGCACCCCTCCCTTCATGGCGGCTACCCTGTCAGAGATGTATCAAAACATCCGTGACGGCTGTTACCCTGAGCCTGCCCACCTGTCACCCAACGCCCGCCGCCTTATCGCACGCCTGTTGGCACCCAACCCGGCCGAGCGGCCCAGCCTGGACCACCTGCTGCAGGACGACTTCTTCACGCAGGTGTGTAGTGTTTAGCAGGTGGTGCCCCCCTGGGGGCTGGATGCTTGGGCCCCTTCTCCAGGACATATCAGCCAAGGCCCAAGGAAGGTTCGGACCCCAGGTATTCAGGAGCCCAGTAACCTGAGCAGGGTGTTAACCCCCAATGCCCCACTCTGAAGGGTTTCACTCCGGACCGGCTGCCACCCCACTCCTGCCACAGCCTACCCATCTTTGCCATCCCCCAGCCTCTGGGCAGGCTTTTCCGGAAAGTGGGCCAGCTGCTGCTGAACCAGTGTCGGCCACCCTGTGAGTACCTGGCTTGCCCACTCCTCATCTGCTCCTCACCTGCCTGACACCTGTTCAGTACTTCACACAACTGTCATGCTTCCCATCTGCTCCGTAACTTCACTTCTGTGGTAGAGGTGAATGTAGGTGGCAGATGCCACCCCCTGTATGGGGGGGGGTCAGGCTCTGCACCCCCAAACTCTTCGTGTCTCCTTCAGGTCCCTTCACTCCTAACAAGGCATCAGGTCCAGGAGAAGATGGTTCGGACCCTGACTCCATGGAGTGCAGCGAGGTGAGGGCTTAGGGCTGGGGACATGGTGGGGACACAATGAGGGTACCATCACAGCAAGGCTGGGCAGAGAGAAAAGTCGGGGGTTTTCAGAGTGGGGAGGCCAGAGCCCTTCATCCGCCTCAGGCCTCCCCCAGGGACTGGGGCCGCCCCTCATCCCTGCTACTCCCTCCAGACTTCCCTGTTGGAGAGAGAGACTCCCGGCCTGGAGGTCCCTGTCCACCTGCTCACCCAAGGGACCCTTCGGAGTGACCCAGCCGGTGAGCATACTCTGTCCTATGTGGGTACTTTGGCTGGGGAGTGAGGGTCTAGAGGTGGAGGGGCAAAGACTCTACCTTGACAGGATCAGGGCTCTCTCCCAGCCTCAACTTCCCCACCTGTGAAATGGGAGTGATGTCTGGAACTCTTCTGGGTTTATTTATTTATTTTAAAGATTTTATTGAGGAATTGGAGGAGGGGAACAGCCAAGTTGTTGTCCTTCAATCTTAGTTGTAGAGGGCGCAGCTAGCTCAGCTCCAAGTCCAGTTGCCATCCGGCCGCCCGTCGGCAGCTCACTGCTGCTCAGCTCAAGGTTCAATCATAGTTGCTGGTGGACATAGCCCACCATCTCATGCGGGAGACCAACCAGCAACCTTGTTGTAAGGAACACGTGCTTTCACCAGCTAAGCCATCTTGCCGCCTATTGGCAGCTCAGCTTGGGCACAGCTCGCTGGCCCATGTGGGAATCGAACCAGCAACCCTATTATTGTTCAGAGCTCGCACTCTTAACCAACTGAGCCACTTGGCCAGCCCCCTTCTGGGTTTAAAATAAGATTTTCCTGAATGTGAGAGTTTGGAGTGGTGTCTTTTGGAAAGGCCCTTCGTGGTGGGGGCCCAGACCTGTCTGTCCCCTCTTTCCTTTTCTCCCTGATCCCACAGATTTGTCTCCCCAGGGCCTGAGGGAAGCCCGAGGCAGGAGGTAGAGGTTGCCATCAGAAAGCTACAGCTCTGCCTGAACCCTGGACCCTCAGGTAGGACCCCAGCCCAGCTCACAGGGACCACCCAGTCTCTTAATCTCCAAAGAAAAGTGCCCCATCCTTGTCCAGGCCCCCCGTGGGTATTTCTGGGGCTCCCCAGAAGCAACAGGGCTAAGAGAGGCTTCAGGATGCTGTGACTTCAGGCAAGTCACTTAGCCCTCTGTGCCTCAGTTTCCTTACCTGTGAAAGGAGGCTGATCATAGCATGATACAGGCTGTCCTTGTGTGAGAAGTCTAGAACTTTCTGAAACCTCTATATGGTGACTTTATTTTGAGTGACATGTTGGGGAGGGTTCTGGAGAGCATCCTCTTTTCGGGGTCTGGGCCTGTGCAATTTGTAATCCAGTCCTGTTTTAGAACCAGAGAGGAGACTGAGGAAAATGAAGGTAGGAAAGGAGACTTCAGACCTTCACCAACCCTGAGCCTGTGACCTTGGCCACGCCCAAGATGGGACCCCGTCCCATGTCCCAGAGTCCCAAGTTCTCTTTCTCTCCCTCCCCGCGACCTCCATCATCCCACCTGTCCTGCTCCACCTGGAGAGGGAGCCTCAAGCCTTTTCTTTCCTGGGGGATCCATTTTTCTCTTTTGTTCAGCCTCCCCTGTTGTGTAGCACAAGAAGGACCCCAGACTTTAAGCTTGTCTTGAATCAACTGGAGCCAGCTTTTATTTCAAAATTTGAAATAAACAGTAAAAAATAATTTGAGATAAGCTTTCTGAGAAGCTGCCAAGACAGCACAGTTTTGTCTGTCGCTGACCACTGGATTTCCAGTTTTTCCACTAATGCCCTTTTTCCTCTCCCAGGATCCCACAGGGCACTGAGAGATTTTTATTTTTAAGACAAAAAAAAATTTCATGAAATAAAGCAGAGCCTTACAGCATTGCAAGCATTTCAGAATTACTCATTTCCAGAGGCAGTCCATGATCCTCATGTCCCAGTCTTCCCCTGCAGGCAAGAGTTGGTTTTAAAACCTCTTCCTTGGACTTTTCTGGAAATCTGTGCCCACGCAGTCCCTCCACCAGGCCCCACAGGAACCACCCACTCAGTTCACTTCATCTTTGTGCCCAGCCACACAGGACCCCCCCAGGAGAGCAGTAGCCCATCCTCTCAGTCCCCAAGTGGGTGGATTATTCCAGCAAGTACAGCTTCGGCTACCAGCTGTCGGACGGGGGCAGCGGTGTCCTGCTTCGGGATGGCACCCAAATAGACTTGCGCCCCTCCCAGGGGGGTAAGTCATGGGGCTCCTGTCCCCTTGGGAGCCAGACTCTCCCTTTGCCTTTCTTTATCCATTCCTCAAGGACTTATTAAGTACCAACTGTGCATACTTATAGGAACTCACTGCCTGGTGAGGGAGGATAATGGTAAACAAATGACTAAATTAATTTCGGGTGGAATTTTTCTAAAGGAAATTTGGGTGAGGTAACAGATTGGGGGGTGGAGGTGGCTTTCTGAAGTGATGTTCAGGCAAGACATGAATGACAAGATGAAGCCTATTGGAAACAGCATTTTAAGCACAGTGAACAGTATGTACAAAGCTCCCAAGATGGGACTGAGGATGGTAGGTTTGAGGAACAGTGGGGACTCTGAAGTGAGTGAGGGGGAGACAGGGAGGATGTGAAGTCAGTGGCCTCGAAGGCCACTGTTGGGGTTGGGGCAGGAATGAGGGGTCTGACTCACACTTATAACACAATCTCTCTGGCAGGAGTGATGCAGGGGACTAGCAGGGAGATGGCTGGACTAGTTAGCTGGGCAGTGGCCGTAACTTGAGCTGGGGTGGCCGCAAGGAGAGATGCAAGGGGGCTGGAATCTGGACTGAGTTTTCAGGAGAGAAGGATGGAGCAGCCACAGGCTGAATGGGAAGATGGCAGGAGGGAGGGTGTGAGGGCTGATCTATTGTAGGTCTTAGTGGACAGGCTGAGTCCACCATTCCAGGGATCTGAGTTCAGGAGAGGGGCCAGGGCTGGATGCACAGAGAAGGGTAGTCAGTGTAGAGCTGGTCTTCAAAACCACCATCTAAAGGGGTGTGGCTGGGTGGGAAGGTGTCCTGGTGTGAGGTGCCCAGGACAGAGGCCATGACAGTTGCCCTGTGCCCCTACTCACAGCCAAGTCTGCTACATGCCCGACCGGGGGAAGGTACAAACATTCTCCTTGAGGGACGTGCCCAGCCCCCTGGGCGCCAAACTGGCCATCCTGCGACTTTTTGCAGGCTACATGCAGCAGCGCCTATGAGAGGTGAGGGTCGGTGGGGCTGGTGGGGCCAGCAGGTGGGGATGCCATAGCCCTGAGACCCTTGTGGCTGTGTCTCTCCACAGGAAGGGGGCCTGCCCATGCCAACCCCGCTTGCCAGCCCAAGCTTCTGCCTGTTGCACTTCCTTGCATCCCAGCGAGCCCTGCTGCTACTCTTCAGTGATGGGACAGTGCAGGTGAGCATGGGCCCTCAGGCTCAGGGCCTCCTGGGGCTCAGCAGGTGGGGAGCTGCCCTGTCCCCTAGACCACACTGGCTGTTCCAGTGCACACTGTTGGTGGGGGGAGCAGGAAACGGTTGGCTCCTGGGAGATGGGGTGAGCGAAGTATTGACTCCCAAGCACAAAAACTGCAAAATTAAAAATAAAATGAGGGGCTGGCCGAGTGGCGCAATGGTTAACAACTGGCTTGGGATGCCAGAGGGCCCCGGTTCGGATCCCACATATGAGGGCCAGTGACACTGCCCTCCACAGCTAAGATGCTGAACAACGGCTCAACCTGGAGCTGGGCTGCCTTGAGTCGCTGGCAACGGTATAGGCTGCAGCCCCTGTGGCAGTGGGTTGCCACAGGCTACCGTATGTAGCCAGCAGCCAGCGTGAGTGGCCAGCAGCCGCAGTGAGCAGCCATCCAGAAGCCGGTGACTGATGTGCCTCGCCCAGGAAGAGCGCAATGATGGTGCCAACTTGGGCCAGTGGGCCGACGTCCTCCACAGCTAGACTGAGGAACAAGGCGACAGCGGCTTGTCTATTCCCCTTCCCCCAATTGCCCAGCACTGTTCCAATCCCCCCAATTCCCCAATAAAAAATCTTAAAAAAATAAAATAAAATAAAATGAGCTGAAATGATGGCAAAATGTAATTCGGGGTCATCTTCATGTGTGGTTACATTTAGCAGCTTTCAAAATGTCATTTCCTTGAATCATTTTGAAATTGAGGTTTTTCTGAGCAGCTCCGGCAATTTCTGAGCAATCAGAGCCTGTCCTAAAACATTTAAAAAGCAGTACCATATGATACTTTCATTATTAATTTTAAAATGATTTTTACAGTGGGAACCTTCCCCCCCCCCCTCCCGTTTAGAGCATGGGTGACATTGCACTGAGGAAACTGATAGTTGGTGCAGGGCTGGAATTCCCCAGGCCACAGGATTAAGAGTGGGGTGATTATGGGCAGGGGAGTCCTGCCTGAGCCTCAGTTTCACCTTCTGTATATTAGAACCCTGGGCTCCTAACTCTGGGAGAACCCCGGGCAGCTGCTGAGACCCCCAGGTCAGGAGGCTCTCAGCCTCCTGTCCACTTGTCCTTCTCCCTGAAATGCCGGGGCTGGGGCAGGCCCAGGGGACCCTTCTCCCCTTGACTTCGGCTCCTCACCTTGGCAGGTCAGCTGCAGTGGAGATGAGGCTCAGCTGGTGCTGAGTGGGCGTGGTGAGGAGCTGCTCCTCACGGTCTGGGAACGAGGCCAGCCTGGTATCTCCTACCCACTGGGTGTCCTGAGGAGCCATGGCTGTCCCCCAGCTGCCCACCAGCACCTTTTCCATGCTCTCTGCATGCTGCAGAGCATCTAGCACCCCCAAGGGTCAGAGTGGACCTCTGCATATTGATGCCAGGGACTCAGGCTCCATTTTTGTTCCTATTGCTCCCCCAGAGAAGTTGCCTTTTGGGACAGGTGGGGGAGTGTGCTGGGGACATGGGAAGTGGGGGCATGATTGTTCAACCCAGAGTTTTGTTCAGCTTTGTTCTCTTTTCATTAAAGAAAGCTTGACTCTGACCTGCTGTCTGACTCTTTGGGGGAGCTTTGGCAAGGCAGCACACAGACCTGGCGTAATCTGAGCTCACTGTCCTTTGTGGTAGAGACAGATGGGCCAGATTTTCACCAACACAGAAGTTAAGACAAGAGTGGGGTTCTGTTGTGATGGAAAATCCAAAATATAGGCCATTTGCCTAATGGACAGGCAGTGGGAAAATGGATGTTGGAGGCTGGACAGATTTTTTTTTTTAATCCATTTACATAAACCATGTCCCTATAGAAAAGAATTAAACCATCAGCGTGTCCTGGCTTTTTCCCTCAACCAAGTGCCTGGATGTATGTACTTCTGCATTTTTTTGTGAAGACACACCTTGTTGCTTTTTATGGAAGGAGGGAGTGAAGAAAAGCTGGCACTGAGGGACTGGAAAGGGAATGGAGGGAGTTGGTGAGATAGGTGTGGGGAACTCAAATGCCTTGGTGTGGCCAAATGTGGGAAGAGAAATTGTTCTGCCTAAAAGTGGGGGAGAACTGGAAAATTCCCTGGAGAATCTGGGTGGAACAGGGTGTGGGTAGGAGAGGAGCCAGCAAAAGGGAGAGGTGAGGCCAGGTAGGGCATCATGGTCTTTCTCTCTCTCTCTCTCTCTCTCTCTCTCTCTCTCTTTAAAGATTTTATTGGGGAATTGGGGGATGGGAACAGCGCTGGGGAATCAGGAAAGGAGAGCAGACAAGTTGCTGTCCTTTTGTTCTTCAGTCTAGTTGTGGAGGACGTTGCTTCATTGGCCCATGTTTGTATTATCATTGCACTCTTCCCAGGTGAGGCAGATCGGTCGCTGTCCACTGGACAACTGCTCACAGCGGCTCTTGGCAGCTCACGCTGGCTGCTGGCTGCCAGCCACTCACCGTAGGTCACGACAGATTACTGCAGCAGGGGCTGCAGCCTACTCCGTCACTGCGACTCACGGCAGCCAGCTCCAGGTCGAGCTGTTGTTCACCATCTTAGCTGTAGAGGATGCAGTGTCACTGGTCCTAATGTGGGATTTGAACTGGGGCCTTGCTGCTCAGAGCTGGCATCTCAAGCCAACTCTTAACCAATGGAGCCACTTGGCCGGCCCTTTCTCTGTTTTTTTGTTTTTTTTTTATATTATTATTAATGTGAAATTCAGAGAACATGCAATTAACTGCTTTAAAGTGTACAACTTGGGGATAATAGGTGTATTCACAATGTTGTACAACCACCACCTCTATCTAATTTCAAAACTTTTGTTTTATCACCCTAGAACATCACCCCCTTCCCCCAGCCCCTGACAACCGCTAACCCATTTCTTGTAGCTGTGGATGTGCCTGTTCTGGACATTTCACATCAATGGAATCACACACTGTGTGGCCTTGTGTGTCTGGCTTCTCTCACTGAGCACCGTGTGTTCGAGGTCCATCACATTGTGGCGAGTGTCATCAGCACCTTCCTCCTTTTCATGACTAATATTCCAGTGTGTGGGTGGACCATGTTTTATTTGTCCATTCATCAGTTGATGGTATCATGTTACAAATGACAGAAACCTCCCTCCTAATTGTTATGAGCAACATAAAGGATTGGCTTCTGATGCTGAAATGTTCATAAAAGACAGTTGCAGGAAAGGCTGGATCAGAGGCTCAGATGAAGAATAAGGCCCTCCCCCCACCCTGCCTCTCTCTTCCTTTCTCTCACTCTTTCTCTATTTCTTGTTCTACCATCCTTTGTTTGGGCACTTGTAGCATAGTGACAAAGATGACCCCTGGCACGGGCTGACATGCTCTCAAGCAAACCTAGAGGAAAAGCAGCAGCCATACTTTCCTGTTAGTGCCAGCAAAAGTCCCAGATTGAAGCTCATTGGCCAGGGTCACATGACCTCCCCCAATTCTCCTGGACCCAGATTGGGGTATGGCAGGTTCAGAAGAAGGGGGAATAGATGCTCATATCCCATCATCATCTTACTTTGCCGTAATGTGTTTCTAATCAACAGATGGTCTTTTGTGTAAAAACACCATGGTGGGTAGCCTCCATGATGGCCCCATCTCCTGGAATTTACCCCGTTGTGTACTCCCCTCCACATTGAATAGGGCTGGCCTATGGAACCAATAGGATATCAGCAGTGATAATCTGTGACTTCTGAGCCTAGGTAATACAAGATGTAAGGTTTCTTCCTCACTCTCTCTCTGAGCACTCGCCTTGGGGGTGGGGGTGGGGGGTAGCTGCTATGTTGTAAGGACACTCAGGCAGTGCTGTGGAGGAACTTCCCCCCCACCCCGTGGGGGAGCGGAGGCCTCCTGCCAGCAGCCATATGGGGGAGCCATCCTGGAAGGGCCTCCTCCAGCCTCAGTCGAGCCTTCAGATGAGGCAGTCCCTGCCGGCACATGATCTGCAACCTCCTGAGAGACCCTAAGCCAAGACCACCCAGCCAAATCACTTCTGAATCCCTGACCCACAGAAACTATGAAAAAAAACCCCAAAAACGTGTTTATTGCTGCTTCAAGTCACTCCATTTTTGGTTGACTTGTTACCTAGCAATAGCATACTAACACACTTGCCAAGACACAGAGAGGACCCAGTCCCATTTTTGCCCAGAACATTGATTTCTGGGGAGAAAAAGACAAACATCCTCAGCCCGTTTAACTGCCTTTCTTGCAGAATGACCTGCCTAGAGTGTTTATTCCCATCTGCTTGTGGGCATACGAGCAGCAACAATCTGTGATAATAGCCCACGATGGTGATTTATTAAAAATAAACCAACCACAGGATATGTTAATTTTGTAACTTCCCAGGCTGATTTCTTATTTCTAGGTATGAGAACATGAAAAGATGGCGAAGTGCCCACACTGCCCTCACCCTGAACGTTTCTGGAATCATCTTCAGACAGGGTAACTGTGTGTCTCAAAATGAAGCTATTAGCCTAAGTTTTTTGGGTGCTTACAAAGGTTGGCGTTTCAAGAAATGGCAATGAATCCACTCCTGGCCTGACCAGAACCTTTTTTTTTTTAAAGGAAAGCACTGAGGGTATTTTTACTCTGAAGAATTAGGAAAGACTTGCTTTAATTCAATTCTACCTTTCCCCCCTCATCTGAAGCTTCCCCTGAAACCTGTCTCTGGACCACCTCTTCAGTGATCCGTGCCAGCATGTGACATAGGTGTCTCCTCCAATCACCAGCAAGCAAGGCAGGGCCAAGGTGTCAGCATACCTAGTGGGCTGGTTGGCTACTGCCAATGTCAACCGGGTGTGATGTCACAAAGCCTGTCAGTGTCCAGGTCCTTCTTGCAGACATCTGATTCCCCATCTGGTCTAACTACAGAGCTTGCCTGAGAGCTGGGGGCTTTCCCCTCCCTATGTAACAGATGAGGTAACTGAGGCATGTGGATTGCCTCAATATATAAACTGCTAGGAGAAAAGGGAGGTGGCTGTAAGTAGGTCAGCCTGGCCACCTCTGCCACAAGGAATTTTGAAAATCCCGATGACTTCAGGGAGTTATGCTAAGCGAAAAATAGCCAATGCCAAAAGTTACATACTGTAAGATTCTGTTCATATAACATTTTTGAAATGACAACAGATGAGTGGGGTTGGAGATGGAAGTGGGTGCAGGGGGTGGGGAGCTGTGGTTATAACAAGGCAGCTCTAGGAGTCCTTGTGGTGGTGGATACACCAATCTACTCAGCTGATACAATTGTAGCCAATAAAACACACAAGAGCAAGTAAAACTGGGGAATCTGAAATCTGGATAATGTAGGTGATGAGATCCATGTTAATATCTTGGTTGAGATATTGACTATTGTTTTACAAAATATGATCACTGGGGGAGACTGGATGAAGTGTACAATGGAATTTCTGTGTTATTTCTCACAACTTCAGGGGAATCCACAATGATCTCAATAAAAACTTCAATGAAAAAATTCTGTGTGCTGGTTCTCCAATAAGCTAAACATACAGTTACCATGTGACCCAGCAATTCCACTCCTAGGTATAGACCCAGGAGAATTTAAAATAGGGGTTTAAAAACAATTGTTTTCTTGAATGTTCAGAGTAGCCTGTTCAAATAGACCAAAGTGGAAACAACCCAAATGTCCAACAATGGATGAATGGCTAAACAAAATGGTCCATACAATGGATTATTCAGTCATGAAAAGGAGGGAGGCGCTGACACTTGCCACAATGTGGATGGACCGTGTGGTGCTCAGTGAGAGAAGCCAGACACACCAGGCCACTCAGTGTGTGATTCCATTTATGTGAAGTGTCCAGAACAGGCATAGTCACAGACAAGAAGTGGGTGATTGTCAGGGGTGGGGGAGAAGAAATGGGGGGGTGACTGCTAATGGGGATGGGGTTTCTTTTTGGGGTGATGGAATGTTCTGGATTAGAAAGAGGTGATGGTTGCACAACATGTGAATATACTTAATGCCACTGAATCGCATTTTTTTTAAAAGGTTTT